TATATTGTCTCTTCTTGAAAGCGAAGGTTGGGCTATTGATTAGTTTATCGTGCCTTGTCTCAATTAAGAGCGTTTGTGATGATTGACGTTATACTCTATCATTCCCAACATCTGTGTCTTTGAAATATTTGTCAAAGGCACCGCATGTTTACGCATTCCCACGTACTCAAATATCAGAACGCTTAGGTGTGGTAGGAGACTGGACGCTAGATTTTAGATATTTTGGAAAATTTTTCTTCTCATAGTTTATCGTGTTACTCGGAAACTGATAAGTAATGCCTTGAAGTTACGATTTTTCGATATTTTACTTTTGTATTATGATATGGTTAAAATTCTCCACATTTTCAAAAATGTTTTGAATTATACAGGGTTCGTTCACAAAGTAGGGCGCAAAAAGGTACACATTTTATTACATGGTTAATGTACAAAGAATGTGTAGGTTTATTTTTTCCTTCCCGGAAAATGCTGCGAAAGATGGTTGAATATGACTTGATGTAGTCTTGGCTTAATTTCTTTCTTCGTGATCCCCTCAATGGACCGATTGGCTTATCGCCTCCGCAATTACGGCACCGCGTACAATCGCCTGATGAATGACCCTTTCCCAATGTTTTCATTCATATTTTTAAGTGCCGCCTTTTATCTGTCTACATCATAAACGCTTTATCTTACAAAGACGAATCGTTTAATTAACCACTCGATTTTTTGTCGTTTAACATCGGTAACTAGTAGACGTATTTTACAATTCCCCGCGCTGTCATTTCAATTACAATGGTCCGCTTCATTTACCTCACCCTAAATATACATACGTAAAGCAGCATAAATATTAATTTACCCTGTTTACATCTGAAATAGAATTGCATTTCTAACCCTGATTGCTACTTTATATTGCTAATTGCCTATTAGCTTCCTTACGGTAAAATAAAATACCAACTTGGGTCATGAACTCATTTCCTTGCAATGCCTAAAACATACCTTCGCTCACACAAACTTATCGTTATGTACATACGCATTTTTACTAAACTATACAATTTTCTGGTTACAAGAGCGTTAGGTACTTACACTTACTAAAACGATTTAAAAAATGCCCGCATGCTCCTAGCTATAGTTAGCAACTGTTGGATATATATAGCAGAATATGGTGCACCTGCACATAATTTTAGAAGATTTTGGTAATATCTTTCAATGCTATGCTTTTGTATAAATACGAATGTTGAAAGAATATAGACACTTTTGATTAACGTGTTTATTGATTAAAAATACAAGTAAAATACACTGATTCTAAATCTTGAGAGCTTATTGATGTAAAATGTGACCTCAGCGTCATAAAATCGCGACAGAGTTTTTTTCAGGAGGCAATAAAACTTGCATGAATTAAAAACAAAACTACCTTGAATTAAAATCAAGATGGAGTATATTTTAGGGAGATTAATACCTAGCTTTTAATCACTTAACAAATTATCTGATTGGTTATAATTTGAGACAATTACCACGCTGATTGGTCGAATATTAATGGACTGTATTAATCGTAAATAATAAGGGGAAATGATAAATTGGGATTTACTCGATCGTCGTTATATTGATGTACGAACCCTCCACCCGCGGGGGGCGTCTACAGTTTTTTAATAATGTACAAAAAATAGTCGCATGAAAATACTCAAGCGCGTCCGATATTGATAGTGTGATACGGATACCCCACGTGTCTCTGATATTGGAGGTATGTTAATCTGGCGGTTTTCATGGTGGGAGAATCTGTACGGAAGGGTAGAAAACGGGGTTTATTGGAGCACGTCAGATATTTAGGGCATTGTACGTATCATTTATAACACGGCCGCCTATGATCTCAGTCAACTGACATGGTTCAACTTGCAAGTTTGTGACCTCACTCCTCACGTCACGCTCAAATCGTATATTATTGAAATGCACCTTTTTCAACACGTAGTCAACCCGCCTTACTATTAGCAACCATCAAACATAGGAGGATGTTTGCATGTTTCCCCAAATTTCCGCATAAAAAAGGTTTCAATCTCAAGGAAGATTTCGCACCTTAAGCGAAGTTGGCAAAAATATTTCGATTACTGCGGAATTTTGATTAGGGCGTTCCATATGAAATAAACCATTCCCAATTTGCTTTCGGACATGTAATAAAAATGTCAACTGCAATTCGTGAGTGCACTTTTCGTTATTGTCGATTTTTTTAGAAAGTATTATAAACAGCGTTTATTACATACGGTAAACAACCATCGTGCTCATACAGTCAGTATTACACTTAGCACACATAGCTGGAGTACCACAGGGTTCTGTTCTGGGTCCCTTACTATTCATATACTATGCAATTACATCCATGAGTGGTGATAATATTGTTATGTTTGCGGATGACACTAGTTATCTTTTTTCTGGGGATAGTATGAGTGAGGTAGTCGAGAACGCACAGTCTTCAGTAAATAGTGTCGTTCAATGGATCAATAGTAATAAGTGCTAGTAAATCATTAATTATAAATTTCAATCTGCGTGAGATCATAAGGAAGGAATCTCTGTTAGTTAAAACAAGCAGGAAATCAATTCCTCAAGAGAAATGTACCAAATTCTTAGGCATCTATCTTGATAGTAATTTGAAATGGAATACCCATATAGACAGTTTATCCAAAAGTTTAGCGTCAAGTGCCTATGCAATATTTAAATTAAAATCTTTTAGTAGTGACAAAGTGCTGTTAAGTTTTTACTATGCGCATTTCTACAGCAAAGTTAAATATGGTATTCTATTTTGGGGTAGATCTAACTTAACTCACAGGATTTTCCTAATTCAAAAGCAAGTAGTGAGATCTATAGTGGGAGTAAAGAAGAGAACATCATGCAGATATATACACGGTGTCCATTTTTCGAGTGCCACTATGGGGATCTCACTTATCTTAAGAGATAGAAAGTTGGTTAAATGGGGGCAAAGTTGCCAATTTTCGTGCCGAATGAGAATCTGAAAAGAAATTTGAAATATCTTCAATAGTTTTGAAGATATCGCAAAAAAACGAAAATTTTTGATTTGCGTTTTTAATTTTTTTATGATAAACTAATCGTAGTAGACATTTCTAATTAACACATTATTTGGACACTTTTTAATGGAGATTTCAAATATGGCATCCTGTTTTTAATAACTTTCAAGATGACGGAAAAACACGTGAAAACTTTAGTTTTTCTTATGGGCGCCATTTTGAATTTTCACATTTTAGTCCAAGGGAGACAGGTCAGGTGACCGCGCCGGCCAGCGTACGTCGCCATTATTAGCAATAACATGATTGGGGAACAATTCCGATAAGCATTCCCCAACCCTCCTAGCATTATGGGGCGGTGCGCCATCTTGCTGGAACCATATCGAGTTCAAACGAGGAAGAGGAACGTTATTGTTAATAAAATCGGTTAAATGTCCTCAGGAAATGGAGGTACCGATCAGCATTTAGAGTCTCTTAAGGACCAATTATTGTATCGCCCAATAAACCGACCCATACGTTAACGCTAAAACGTATTTGTGGTCGTCGTTCTAGAAATTGATGAGAATTTTCAATTGACCAGTAATGTTCATTGTCAAAATTTCAAAATTTTTACCGCTTGCAAAATTGCCTGCTCCTATTCATTGGGTCTATCACCATATTACTGTCTACATCTTTTAAAAGAACCATATTCGCCCAAGTTTTTATGCAGCAAAGAAAAATACCTCAAACTAGATTGTTGCCGCTCTGGATAACGCTGGAAGTATGTTGCAGCAGCCATGTGGGCATTTCAATGAGAAGTGTAGTAAATTTGGATCATATCTGTTTGATCTGCACTTGAAAAAGGCATTTTCGCATACAACTAGCATAAACCTAAATGGCACTACATGAAATAAGTCAACCTTTTGTTCACAACAAAAGAACGTTTTCTTTTTCCAAAGCACTCTTCTCAAATAATTAAAAATTGAATTTTTAGGAAAAATGTGATACTGAACCACCATGTGTATCGTTGTAAAGAGAAAAAAAGACGTAATGTCAAAATGTGAAAATTCAAAATGGCGCCCATAAGAAAAACTAAAGTTTCCACGTGTTTCTCCGTCATCCTGAAAGTTATTAAAAACAGGATGCCTTATTTGAAATCTCCATTAAAAAGTGTCCGAATAATGTGTTAATTAGAAATGTCTACTACGATTAGTTTATCATAAAAAAATTAAAAACGAAAATTAGCAATTTTCGTTTTTTAGCGATATCTTCAAAACTATTGAAGATATTTCAAATTTCTTTTCAGATTCTTATTCGGCACGAAAATTTGCAACTTTGCCCCCATTTAACCAACTTTCTATCTCTTAAGATAAGTGAGATCCCCATAGTGGCACTCGAAAAATGGACATCGTGTATTTAGACAATTTGGACTATTAACTGTTCCTGATATATATATTCTAGAAATTCTGATGTTTGTAAAAGAAAATCCAAAGGAGTTTTCTGTTAATAACTTACTATAATCACAGTTACAATACACGGCGTGGTAAGGATTTCTGCATTTCTGCGCAAAGACTAAGTATGTCAGAAAATAAGAGATATATGGGCTCATTACTTTTTAACAAACTCCCAAAACGTTTCAAGTCTGAAACTCGACATAAACAATTTAAGTTTCAGGTAATGCATTTTTTATTGTCCCAGTGTTACTATTCAGTGGAAGAGTATTTGTCAGATTCGTGTACTTAATTACATTTGGTATCGTTAGTAATACAATTACGTATGTTATATTTTATTTAAATTATTTAGTGATATTTTACACAACCTCTGTCATTGACTTGATCAATATCATGTTACATGGTCTAATGGTGTAATAAACATTATTATTATTACATGAAAAATGTCAAATGTGTATTACGTACGGCAAACAATTACGTTGCGTGACTCATATATGAATATTCCACAATAATTTACATTTCCAGTCTAATCCGTCATATTGGCTTGGACCACGGGATTTGGTTAATTGACCATCACTTTTGATTTCAGAGCGGTAGCAGCATATCTACGCGCACTAAACCTATCGCCAAATAATGCGGTCGTACACGGAAATCTTGCATGCGTTTACTACGAACAAGGCCTTATCGATTTGGCCATCGATACGTACAGACGCGCCATTGAATTGCAACCGAACTTCCCGGACGCCTATTGTAATCTGGCCAACGCGCTTAAAGAGAAAGGGCAGGTAGCGGATGCCGAAGAGTGCTACAATACCGCACTTCGACTATGCCCATCTCACGCAGATTCCCTGAACAATCTCGCTAATATTAAACGGGAACAGGGATACATAGAGGAGGCGACGCGTCTGTACTTGAAAGCGTTGGAGGTATTTCCCGAGTTTGCGGCTGCGCACAGTAATCTCGCGTCGGTACTGCAACAGCAAGGGAAGCTCAATGAGGCCCTTATGCACTACAAGGAAGCAATTCGCATCCAGCCAACCTTCGCCGATGCCTACTCCAACATGGGCAACACCTTAAAAGAAATGCAAGATGTAGCGGGCGCCCTTCAGTGCTATACTCGCGCCATACAAATTAATCCCGCTTTTGCCGACGCCCACAGTAATTTAGCTAGCATTCACAAGGATTCCGGAAATATTCCCGAGGCCATTCAGTCATATCGCACGGCTTTAAAATTGAAACCCGACTTCCCAGATGCCTACTGCAACCTAGCTCATTGTCTACAAATTGTATGCGATTGGACCGACTACGAATCCCGCATGAAAAAGTTAGTGAACATAGTTGCGGATCAACTGGAAAAGAATCGACTACCATCTGTACATCCACACCACTCCATGCTATATCCACTATCGCACGAGTTTCGCAAGGCCATAGCGGCGCGTCACGCCAATCTGTGCTTGGAAAAAATTCACGTGCTTCACAAACACCCGTACAAGTTTGCCATGGACCTAAAGGGACGTTTAAAAGTTGGCTACGTTAGCAGCGACTTCGGCAATCACCCCACCTCACATTTAATGCAATCGGTACCCGGCTTACACGAGCGCGGAAACGTGGAAATTTTCTGCTACGCCCTCAGTCCAGATGATGGTACCACCTTCCGTAGCAAAATCGCGCGAGAGGCCGAACATTTCATTGACCTATCTCAGATCTCGTGCAACGGCAAAGCGGCCGATCGCATTTATGCCGATGGAATCCACGTCTTAGTCAACATGAACGGCTACACCAAAGGCGCCCGAAACGAAATTTTCGCGTTGCGACCCGCCCCAATCCAAGTAATGTGGCTAGGCTATCCCGGCACTAGCGGCGCAAGTTTTATGGATTACTTAATCACGGACTGCGTCACCTCCCCGATGGAACTTCAAAGTCAGTACAGCGAAAAGTTGGCTTACATGCCTCACACCTACTTTGTAGGTGACCACAGGCAAATGTTCCCCCATCTGAAAGAACGCTTAATTGTGAGCGATCGCAACAGCTCCATCGCTAATTTACCCGACAACGTAGCCGTAATCAACGCGACCGATTTATCTCCATTGGTCGAAAACACAGAAGTCAAAGAAATCAAAGAAGTGGTACAGACTACGAAACCCGTCGAAATCAGTCTCAAAGTCGCCGAACTTCCGACCACAACTCCCATCGAAACGATGATCGCTTCCGGTCAAGTTCAAACCTCCCTCAACGGCGTGGTTGTTCAAAACGGACTCGCCACCACCCAAACTAACAACAAAGCGGCGACAGGCGAAGAAGTTCCTCAAACCATTGTCATCACTACGCGCCAACAGTACGGCTTGCCCGAAGACGCAATTGTATACTGTAATTTCAACCAGCTGTACAAAATTGATCCGATTACGCTTCACATGTGGGTGAACATTCTCAAAAGTGTACCAAACGCGGTTATTTGGTTGCTTCGATTTCCCGCAGTGGGCGAACCCAACTTACAGTCGGCAGTTCAACAGCTGGGATTGTCCCCCGGAAAGATCATCTTCAGTAACGTCGCCGCCAAAGAAGAGCACGTGCGAAGGGGACAATTGGCCGATGTTTGTCTAGATACTCCACTTTGCAATGGTCACACCACCAGTATGGACGTTTTATGGACGGGAACTCCAGTCGTCACGCTTCCTGGTGAAACACTCGCGTCAAGAGTGGCCGCGTCCCAGTTAACCGCGTTAGGGTGTCCCGACTTGATCGCCAGGTCTCGACAGGAGTACCAGGATATCGCTATTAAGCTAGGAACTGACCGCGAATTGTAAGTATCTGTTGTTGCTGGCAAATTTTTCCTAAACTGGCATTTTCAGTTTAAAGGCGACGAGACACAAAGTATGGGCGGCGCGCACCACTTCGCCGCTCTTTGACTGCAGACAGTATGCACAGGGTTTAGAAATGCTGTACGCGCGCATGTGGGAACGGCACGCGATGGGATTAAAGCCGGATCACGTGACTGCGTTAGCCGAAAAGTAAAAAATTTCAAAGTTGAAGGACAAAATTCTATTGAATTTAGTGGTAGACTAGGCCATTGCTAATATATTTGAAGCTCGAACTGATGTGTAGTTCACATGTATATTAATTTAAGTTGATTTAAGAGAGTTTTGGTCTCAATGTGATGATGACTACTAAAATTTTAGGGTAAGTTATTTATATAACCGAGACAATTAAATTTCTAAATGTTGATTTTTATTTATGAAAATAATCTTATCTTCTCTTACCCTTTATCTAGGTTTGGCTGAGAGGTTTTCAAGTGCATATTCCATACAAGTAAGTTTTATATAATTTGATGCATTGAATTGAGAGAAAAATTATTTTTTCTGTTTTTGTGTGTGAAACCCTAACTGTGGAATTATGAACATCGTTCCTTCCGTCATGGAAATTTGGGTAAGTACATCTTTCTACTTGATAGAAATAGCGTATATGTATTGGGACTTTGTGCTATAAAGGGACGTAATTTGGAGATATTCATAATATTAATAATAACTACAGGTCAAAATATGGAAGGTTCGATTTTTTCCAAGGTTTCCTTGTAGGTTAAAAAAAATCGTCGAATGTCCCATGATATTTTGAGCTGTAGATATTAAAAAATGATGAATATCTACGTCCATTTTGATTTAAAAAAAAACCCTATCCAATAAACCCGAACCCCCGAACTTGAACAATTTGATACTCATGCACTTCAGGAAAAGTAAGAAAAATAACTTAGTAGCGAACACTCCCTTTGAGTTCCTTAACAATTTTTGTGAGTGCTTTAGAAAAGAATCACATACAAATAACTATCTACAAACCGTAGAAAGTGCCATAGGGAGTTGAGCGTTATGAAACTTGTCACTTTCTAAACTCTTCACTTTTTCGCTTTTTGTTGACGTTTCACTAAATCTTAATACTATATAAGCGATGATTTTTAATATCTAAAAAATAAAAATAGCATTTTGTAAGTAATGTAAGTGATAGTAGGTTCATAAATGATCATTCGTATCAAAATCGCCGCTAAAATAAAACATGTTGCATACAGTGCTAATAAAACTCGAAGAATCGCATCACAAAAAAATGTTCAGATCAAACGTTCTATTTCATTGTTTTAGCTGGAACTGGCCCGATTGTTTTAGCCGTCATGAAAATGGCGTATAAAATTCCTCCGAATTTGTGATAAACAGGTGAATAATAGGATATTAGATTTCCAAACGATTTTTTAAAGGAATTTGGCAAAAAATTGCCCTTTATATGCTCGTTTTTTCGTCCATTATTTAATTCGACAATAAATGAATCGGGTTAAAACTTTTATTTGTTACTCAGTTGTAAACGTTGATTAACAAGACAAAACGCAAACGGGTAAACGTCTTGTTTTTTAAACGCTACTGACTTGTAAAACTGACAGCAGACTTGTAAAACTGACAGCAGACCTGTAAAAATTTTACAAGTTAGTAATCTAGTAATTTCATTGGCCAGAATTAATGCGAAGTCTCTGTTACATGGATCACATGATATTTTAGACATTTCTTCAAGATCAATTTAAGAACTAATTATTTACGTTTACAAATGAGTAACAAATAAAATATTGTACATTATACGCCAGGTAATAGTTTTTACTGGCTCTAGGAGATGACAAGCTCGCCTAACGGCTCGCTAGTCAACTTCTCCTATCGCCAGTAAAAACTCACTTACCTGGCTAATGTAAAATACTATTAAAGGTGAATTTATGAATGCGCACTGCGTTAAGTGCGAGCGGAAACATTTTCATCTTTCAGTTCGGAAAAGTGTTATATACTATATTTTACAGTTACGGGCAATGCTGGGGTGTAATAAGTAGGAGTGATGATATCGATTGAGGCCGAATTCCCCCGTTATAAATTAGATAGTATATGACATTAATCAAAAAAGGTTTTGGTCATTTTTAAGGAAATGTTTCCTACAGGTGTAGATAAAATTAAAAACACTTTTCGGCTGCAAAATCTGAACCAAAAAGTCCAAAATAAACTGTTTGTTGAAAAAGCGTTGAATCTTCGAGTAGATATAGATATAGAGAAATATTGAAAAGATCCCAACACTTTTTCTATACGAAAACTTTTTATTTTTGGCTTTTTAGTGCAGATTCTGTATTCTGTTGGCGAAAGTTTTTTTTAGTATTTTATATCCTGCTACTAACAAATGAATTTTCTCGTCGCCGTACGGTTAGTGAATCTACGAGCGATCCCTAGCATTGGTTTGCGCGGGCACAGCGACTGACAAGTTCATGATTGACACAAAAACAAGAATGTAACCATAGGAAAGTATTTCAGGGTTCGCAAATGGTCTCTTTTTTAGACATTGGTCTCTTTTTTCAATGCTTGTCTCTAAGAGTCTATTTTTCATATTTGGTCTCTAAAGTCTCTAAATTTTGCATGTTAAAAAAGTATAATTGATAACCCGCAGAAATTTTACTGTACATTTTTAGCGCATTTTTTAGGAACTAAAAAAAAGTGCTATTGTTTGCGTTTTGTCCGTCCGTCCGGAAGAGGGGGTGGAACTAGTTTTATCCTTCATGGTACTCTAATGAAAGGTCTCAACGGAAGGAATTAATTCCTACCAACCACAGCTCTCCTCCTCGACCTCTTATCGCGATCGGGTATATTCCCTTATACCTCGAGAACGGATTGTCGGAAGAGGTTACTCAGAAAGGGCGATTGAGACGTCTGCAAGAAATATATCCATTGGTGATGTCAAAAAAATTTGGGTAAAAAAAATGCGCTTTGTCAGCACCAGAGTTGTGCACAATTTATACTTGTTTATGTATCTCATATTACAAAATAAATATTTTTTGCTTAATTTTGTATACAAATTGGTTCTCGAAGGTCTCTAAATGGTCTCTATTTTTAAATATGTAAATAGAGACCAAGTCTCTATTTCTTTGCTAAAATCAGTTGCGAACCCTGGTATTTTAAAATGGTAAAACTTCAAGGTGTAAATTTGTGACATTTTGATTTCTTAAAATTACGTAATGGTAATAAGTCAAATAATAGGGTAGCAGTAGTGAATTGATTCACTATTTAGTTCCATAGGATTGCTACCTACCTAATCCTCGAAAAAGTAAACATTCTCCAATATTGATTGGGTTGAGAGGTTTCAGAAAAGGGAGCAACTGTATACAGTGTCCAAGATAAGGATTTCTATAATGGGGATCTCCAAAACCACAGAAATCGATTGACGAAGGTTTGACATCGCGGTCTTTTTTCATTCTCGAGTTAGTTTTTTTGTTTCCTTTGCCTGGCATATCTTCGGAAGTAGGTAATCGGAATTTTCTTTAAAGCACGATAATAACTGTTTAATTGTGCAATTTTTTCCTAATTTGACCACTAGTGGAAAAGGAATTCGAACAAATGCGCGGAAAAGTGAAAACATTTCTAATGATTTTCAAGGCAGAAAGGGAAAATGATGGACGATGGGAAAATAGACATAAGTTAAAGGACAGAATCAAGGACTTATATGGAGACAAGAAAGAACACAAAGAAGATATTACAAATGGGTACTGGGACAAAGAATAAAATATGAAAGAAATGAATACGCATGGGCAGAGGTCGAAGGAGGAGAGAAATGAGGATAAGCATGAAGACTTAGTAACAGGGACATACCTACAGCCAGAGAAAGAGAAAATCGAGAGCTCGCGGGGAAATAGTAGGCACAAGGAGCTGATAAAGGAAATGCAGGCTTTATGGAGAGAAACACGAAGATGCAAGGGGAGAAAATGGACGAAGATGATGCTAAAATAGATAGTTCAGTCAAAGTACGGTTTGGGCTGGGTGTTGTCACTTGACTCGACGAAACCAAGTGTACCTACCCATTCTATGTAAAAATCCGCTGAATCACAAAATCACTCCGGGCCGAAAATTCTCGGGACATATTGTTATAACCAAAAAAACGAAGAAAAAATGGGAAAACGAAAATGTTTTTTCGCTATTGCTATTGCGAGAAAAAATGAGGAGAAATGCAATGTTTAGAGTCGAATTTTCCATAAAATATTGTTGGTATGGAACGTTCAATTTCTAATGGTATTGTTTTTATGGAAAAATATAAAAAAGCAATCCCTAAAATTAACAATTTGTTATTACTAAGTAAGTAAAATTCATCCGATCTTTTTGAAAATCCGTATTTGACACACACAAGGCAGCTGCGGCCAACAAAATCCCTTATCAAACTCTCCAAAAAAGATTGAAGCATAACCAGCTATTTGTAGTAGTATCTGGAAAAATGGGTAGAAATGCAGTTTAGTAAACGCACAAGAAAAACAAATTGCAACCCACGTTCTAACTTCGTCAAATATACGGTTTAACAAGATGCCAATTTCGGCAATTACATTAATTTTAATTAAGGGTAGTCTTGACTTCATTTTTTAGGTAACCGATTTGCAATGTATTTGTTTACATATCAAGATTGCTAAAAAAGGTTGACCTTATGTGGGATCTTAGGCTACTAAACTTATCTGATAGCTTCTGTAGATCTGTTTTCGTCAATACGTTTTGTATTGAAAAATAAGGACAATTTTCCATTATCTACATTAAAGGAATCATTTTTGTAGAAAATGGAAAGAAACAGAAATTTGTACAAGAATAACAGTATTAATTATTCATGGATTTTCGCTTACAGGGGGCCTAAGAACATAATTATGCTAGTTTAATAAAAGAAACAATGCTTTCCCAAATTGCTATACCTATCTAATATATTCGACCTTATAGTAGTTACGAGATGCCTAGATGACGAAGGTAAACTATTTCATAAATAAAGAAACTCTTCACGTTTATCGGATAGTAACTACTTAAAACTAAAACATTTAAATAATATTAAATATAAAAACCATTTATTTCCATTACTTTTTCGCATTTTTTTCACATAAAACGGTTTTTTTACGTAGTGTCACTTAGTTTAGTTACTATACCTACGTAAGTTTTCTAACATGCACCTCAGATTAAAAATTAATATGAGATACCTATACACACTTTCAAATTCGCATTAGGCTTCTTGTCTTAAAAAAACGCAGAAATTTTATCGGTTCATTGTGCATATTTTTGTTGGACGTAAAAAACATGAAATTGCAACGAAATCCTGGCCGTAGGTAGGCAATTACCTACTACCCTTCTGTAGTTAAACATTCCTAAAAAGCGTGATAAAAAAAAATCGACCGTTTTATCGCCTAAAACATACTTTTAAATGCGTATATTGCTCAATTTAAAAAACATCGAAACATGCATAACATAGGTAAGTCATGTCGAGCGATAGGAAATAAGTAGTTACTAACTTCAATAATGTTCAATGAATTCCAGATATATAATTGTAATACTTATACACTGCCTGAATTTTTTCTCGAAATTGGTTTCTAGTCTATAACTTTTGATTGAGAAGTCTGATCGAAAAAGTACGAATTGTTTTGGATTCTACGCACCAAAATTAATAAGAAAAAGTGTTTTCCCGAGAAATTTTGGTGCAGTCGATTTTTGGTAAAAAAGGAAGGTTATACACTGCCTTTTTTTGAGCCCGAAAAAAAAATTGTCTCAGATCGACCCGGAAAAAAAATTTTCTTATAGAATGTGGCCTGTAGAATCCATAATTTCAAACAGTTCCAAGATTGGGCTACTAGTTCAAAAGTTACAGCCCTTTGAATTTTTTTCGAAATTGGTTTCTAGTCTATAACTTTTGATTGAGAAGTCTGATCGAAAAAGTACGAATTGATTTGGATTCTACGCATCCAAATTAATAAGAAAAAGTTTTTCCCGAGAAATTTTGGTGTAGTCGATTTTTGGTAAAAAAGGAAGGTTATACACTGCCTTTTTTTGAGCCCCGAAAAAAAAATTGTCTCAGATCGACCCGGAAAAAAAATTTTCTTATAGAATGTGGCCTGTAGAATCCATAATTTCAAACAGTTCCAAGATTGGGCTACTAGTTCAAAAGTTACAGCCCTTTGAATTTTTTTTCGAAATTGGTTTCTAGTCTATAACTTTTGATTGAGAAGTCTGATCGAAAAAGTACGAATTGATTTGGATTCTACGCACCAAATTAATAAGAAAAAGTTTTCCCGAGAAATTTTGGTGTAGTCGATTTTTGGTAAAAAAGGAAGGTTATACACTGCCTTTTTTTGAGCCCCGAAAAAAAAATTTTCCCAGATCGACCCGGAAAAAAATTTTCTTATAGAATGTTGGCTGTAGAATCCATAATTTCAAACAGTTCCAAGATTGGGCTACTAGTTCAATAGCTACAGCGCTTTGAATTTTTTCTCGAAATTGGTTTCTAGTCTATAACTTTTGATTGAGAAGTCTGATCGAAAAAGTACGAATTGATTTGGATTCTACGCACCCAAATTAATAAGAAAAAGTTTTCCCGAGAAATTTTGGTGTAGTCGATTTTTGGTAAAAAAGGAAGGTTATACACTGCCTTTTTTTGAGCCCCGAAAAAAAAATTTTCCCAGATCGACCCGGAAAAAAATTTTCTTATAGAATGTTGGCTGTAGAATCCATAATTTCAAACAGTTCCAAGATTGGGCTACTAGTTCAATAGCTACAGCGCTTTGAATTTTTTCTCGAAATTGGTTTCTAGTCTATAACTTTTGAAGTCTGATCGAAAAAGTACGAATTGATTTGGATTCTACGCACCCAAATTAATAAGAAAAAGTTTTCCCGAGAAATTTTGGAGTAGTTGATTTTTCGTTATACACTGCCTTCTTTCGAGGCTCAAAAAAAGACCTTCCTTTTTTACCAAAAATCGACTACACCAAAATTTCTCGGGAAAACTTTTTCTTATTAATTTGGATGCGTAGAATCCAAATCAATTCGTACTTGGAAATTTTGGTGTAGTCGATTTTTGGTAAAAAAGGAAGGTTACACACTGCCTTTTTTTGAGCCCCGAAAAAAAATTGTCTCAGATCGACCCGGAAAAAAAATTTCTTATAGAATGTGGCCTGTAGAATCCATAATTTCAAACAGTTCCAAGCTTGGGCTACTAGTTCAAAAGTTACAGCCCTTTGAATTTTTTTTCGAAATTGTTTTCTAGTCTATAACTTTTGATTGAGAAGTCTGATCGAAAAAGTACGAATTGATTTAGATTCTACGCACCCAAATTAATAAGAAAAAGTGTTTTCCCGAGAAATTTTGGCGTAGTCGAATTTTGGTAAAAAGGAAGGTAATACACTGCCTTTTTTTGAGCCCCGAAAAAAAAATTGTCTCAGATCGACACGGAAAAAAAAATTCTTATAGAATGTGGCCTGTAGAATCCATAATTTCAAACAGTTCCAAGATTGGGCTACCAGTTTAAAAGTTACAGCCCTTTGAATTTTTTTTTCGAAATTGCTTTCTAGTCTATAACTATAACTGTTGATTGAAAAGTCCGATCGAAAAAGTACCAATTGATTTGGATTCTACGCACCCAATTTAATAAGAAAAATTGTTTTCCCGAGAAATTTTGGTGTAGTCGAGTTTTGGTAAAAAAGGAAGGTTATACACTAATAGGTGTATGAAAATCAATATAAAGTAAGCCATAACTTGAACTACAGCTTGTTACAAGACTTATGCTCAGTTGCACCATCACAATTAAACCTTGCTTAAAGTTAATTCGAACTTAAAATGTATGGCAACCATTATTAAGACAATCGCTGCTATGGCATTTAATTTAAGTTATGCTTAACTTTAAGCAATCGTGCAATTAGCCATTTAGAATCCCAAAATACTTAATGAGTTCTGTAAAATTTCATGAATTCCAAGAGGTTGTACCTACACCAGAATTGCACAGTGTTTTGCCTGTCGTCTAGATGGTAATTTGAGTACTTTGCACCCTTTAACACAGGTCAAAATGTTTTAAACCTAAACAACCTTTAAAAGAAGATACTCTTGTAGTTACAAAACAGGATACAATTTCCCCTACAAAACGGAAATTGTAGCTGCGGTACGCACCACCTATACGGACAAATTTACATTGTGTTTCGTCTATAAAATAACTTTTTAGCTATAAAATGTATACTTAAATAATAAAAAATGAAAATAACGTCGACTAACTTATGGTATGAGAATATATTTAACCATAAAGTCACAACGAACTATGGATTTTATTATAAATTATAATAGAACAAAAGAAGTAGGTATAGGACATTGCAAGTTATCTACTTAGCAAAGCTTTTTTTCCCAAAATACGAAGAGCATAGTAAAGTACTTGCAAAACCGCAATCCTTTCCCTCAATTGAATCGTAGGTCTCTCTATTTTTGATTTTATTATACATTTTTGAAATCAGGATTTTTAGGATGACCTAAAACTTTAAAATGGCTCCCATATGAAAAACAAAACTTGGTACCGATATAAAATAAGATATTAATGCTCACGAAAACTCATTTCCATCATCTAAAAGGAACAGAAAAAGTTCCCTAACGAAAATCGTTTGAGTTTTTAAATCCTCCCCAAATAACGATTTTAGAGCAAAAAATTCAAAACACCAATATGTTATTTTTCGCCACATTTAGGAAACATTAGAGAAGGGGTAAATTTTCCTTTACCCCTACATCCTGTACTGACTTATGGACGCGCGTGTTACGCTAAGGGGAAGAGTAATTTATAGTTCGAAATTTTGTAATATGTATTATCATGTTGCCAGTAGTTTTGTTCGGGACGAAAATAAAGCAACAGTGGAATAAGGGTGAGTGTATGATATTGGGGACATACTGTATGTCGAGTTGTGACGTCTCTACTACGTTAACATGGCAACCGTGCATGCGCGACATCTGCACGTAATTTAAATTTGAACTGTAATTGTTATAAATTAAATTGTGATGTAACTTATATGTTGTTGATTTAGTTTAACTGCAAGTGCAATTAACCCATATTCAGAGTAAGGACCTGTGACACTTTTCTATTTTTCAACTTGAAAACGTCGACGCTTTTTCAAAATTGACAGTGTGGCACAGGTGGCCAATTTTGATTGTTGTTTTCCGTACAAATGAATGAAACAAAGCGGTACGAAGCAATTAAAAATCGTGTGTTTGAGCACTTGAACGTAGACAAACAAACATGCAGTCGTGTAAATCGGCAATGGAACGTACCTAAACTAAAGTAAGTTCGGTCCGGTTGTTTGAGAGTTCAACAGTTTCAGACGTCAATGTTTCTACGGTAGCTCTTTTGGGTACGCTATACCGTTAGGCGATTATTAAATGCGTAAAAAAATTGCCAGTGAGATACATACGAAGTTACCGTTTAAAAGAAAGTGCAATTCGCCGGTTTTGTGATTGAAATTTAAAAGCGCATCAGGTAAGAAATTTTTATTAAAATTCCTCCAGCTTCTAACATCCCCACCTTGTCATTTTTGCACACAACTGACAAGTACTAGTACAAGGTTGAATTGGATTGCATTGATTGATCCACGTTTTGTGGTAACAGGCCCAATAAACGGCAATACTATGTTTTTAATTTATCATTTAAGCGGTGACAATTTTACCATTTACATACTTATAATTTATTAAGTAATACACTACTTACCTATTGTTATTGTAACACGCGATTTATTTAAACATGCCTGTGATTGCAATGCAGGTATGCGATAAGCCTTTATCATTGCACTTCTAGCGATAATGTATGGCATTCTTTCTATACTAATGATCTCTTTTCCTACCTATTACAAATAATTGTGCGTTTGATTTTTTATTTCTTATAATTTCCCTGATTAAATTGCAAAAAAAAGATTTAAAACTTCGGGCGATCTTCTAGATTTTTATTACCTACATTTTATATCTATCAGGGATAAAGGCAAATAATACAGGGTTTCCTTTCAACACGAACCATATTACAGAGTTCGCGAATTATATGTTTGGAAATTGTGATTTGCATAGCGAGGAGTTGTTCGTCCTCAGCATTTTCCACCACACCCTTCACCTCCCTCTAACTCTAGTAAATTTCGCACCCGGAAGTTATTTTTGTTTAGTTTTTTGCAAAAAGCAGTCCTTTATTGTAAGGCAAAGGGACAGAGCCATTATTTTCAAAATTTGATTAACCAAGGCATAGCAATAGAAATGTTTCAAGCGAGGTTTCAAGGATGCTGAGGAACGGATTCATAGTTCCGAAAATGCTCCCACACTTAGCAAAATTCTTAGAGCGTTACAAAATTGCTGTGGCTACGCATAGAAACTAAAAAGATTTTCTTTAGGGAACTTTTTCTGTTCTTTTAGACGATGGAAATGAATATTCGTTATCATTAATGTTTTATACCGGGTGGGGCCTGCGCGACGCAGCATAGGGATTTCAATGGTAATTTCTTTATAGTCAATTACTAGCTCCCCTAATTATCTTAGAGCAAAAGTCTAAATAAGTTTTTTTTAGAGAAAAAAATACTGAATCTGTTCATGCTATTACTCATAATTTTCCGTTTTTCAAAACCGTAGAAATCTACAAAATAAAAAGGTTCATTTTACAATAAATCAGATATGCCTTGGAATTACCAAAAAAAAACAGCGATCACGTTTCATTATTTGCCTTTGACGTATATTAAATTAATACTTGTTTATAAATTAGTTAAAGAACTGCAAGAGCAATAACGTTCAAAATGTCCGTCAAAACCATGAGGAAAACGACAATACATTCAACGTTTTGGCTGCAGTAGCGGAAAATCGTAATATAAGTTTAGGAACAAATCTGCTTCAAATCAGTTTTTTTTTCTTCGATTATGTAGGTACTCTGATTCTCTCTGATAAACAAATAGTATCTGATGCAGATGCAGCATACATTCTCTAAAAAAGCATTACCCAATTGCCGCTTTTTCTTGCATCGGATAGTTGTAACAGAATTAAATATGAAAATCGTTCGACGTCAAACAAAGATAACTTAGATGCGATGCGCTTGTAGTTTGTTAAAATATTCCAAAGCATCACTGATTTATAAAAATGTAATTTTTTATTTTGTCGATTTCTACGGTTTTGAAAAACGGAAAATTATAAGTAATACTATGAACAGATGCAGTATTTTTTTCTCTAAAAAAACGTATTTACACTTTGGCTCTAAAATAATATAGGGGAGCTAGTAATTGGCTATAAAGAAATTACCATTGAAATCCCTATGCTGCGTCGCTCTAGGCACCACCCGGTATATACGGCTAGATGCAATGCGCTTGTAGTTTGTTAAAAGATTCCAAAGCATCACTGATTTATAAAAATGTAATTTTTTATTTTGTCGATTTCTACGGTTTTGAAAAATGGAAAATTATCAGAGACTTGCTATAACTAGACTGCGCTTAACGTATCTAAGGTGTTGTCGACACAGTATGCAACACACAATGCACCGCGGGGCAAAAATCGCAGAGATGATGTGCAATATAATGAAATAAGCTGTTATTTTAGATGTTCCGTTCTTTAATTATTCTCGTGATTAGCTCGAATTAGTGAACAGATAAATTTCTGTTGAGAATAAACCAATAAACTTAGGTTAACTCGTGCGTATCAACATGTACTCTGTAGATAGAATTTTAAATAATATGCAGATTTCCAACGGATAAAAGTTTAAAGGGCCAATGGATCAGAGCCATTCGAAGAGAAAAATTTACTCCCACCATAGTGCATTTGCGGGGAATGAAGCCTATTTTAGACAGGTACCTACGAAGGTGTTAAACAATAACGCAATACCGAGCGTTTTCGACTTTCCCATTCACTTAAAAATTAAAATAACGTAGAACTATTATTCGACATCCTTTACCAGATAACGGCAGTACCTATTTGCCTATTAGGTATAGACGTAACTAAGTACTTACTGGTACTAAGTATATTTCAGGTTTTGTTACAAGAAAAATAGCTAAAAGTCTGTTAAATGTTCCATATGTGCAGATGCGATATTCGCATCAGAGAGTCATTCAAAGCTTTTAACTAGAAAAAATCGTGGAGGATTGTTGCACGTATCAAGCGATGAATTAAAAATTTGCCAAATTGCTGAAAATGTGTTCAGGTTTTTCATTCAATCCACACCACACCGCGTTGTAAACAAAATGGTTATCAGCAGTCTAAGAAAAATAAATAACAGTTACAGCCCATTTGGGTTTTTGGATAGGCATATATTGAATCAAAATCCGCTAAATAATCATATCTTACTACTTACATCTTTAGTTTTAAGAGTATATTTTCCCATGCGTGTTCACCACCAAAATACACATATAAATCGAATTAGGACCAGAGTAAGGCAGTTATATACCAATTTAGTACAAATAAAATACCAATAAATTCGATTAAAACAGTTAACAGTTATATGTTATCTTTTTTTGCTACTAAAATTTAGAATAAACATATGCTAAAGCAAGCTGCAGAACGTACATCTGCCCCGCGATGAACAGTTGGTTGCCTATCCTATCTTGACAACAGGCGTTTATAGTAAAATGTACGTTACGCGCGGTCTAGTTATAACAAGTCTCTGAAAATTATACCTAAAAGTATGACCAGATGCAGTATTTTTTTCTCTAAAAAAACGTATTTAGACTTTTGCTCTAAAATAATTAGAGGAGCTAGTAATTGACTATAAAGAAATTACCATTGAAATCCCTATGCTGCGTTGCGCTAGGCACCACCCTGTATAATATGACAAATAATTATTGGCTTATAAGGTAGTTGCATCAAAAAATTGTACCAATTGCTGAATGACTATGCATTTTCTTAGTTAAAAGGGATACAGAAAATGATACAAAAGGTTTTTTTATAATGATTGTTGAAGAATTTGCCGTTTTCAAAATAAGTAGGTATACGGGGTCAGGTAAAGAAGTTATCGGACTTAACCTCATTTTTGAAATGGAGCACTCTTTATATTTTAATCTAAAAAGATAGCATATCAAATTCTCTCTTCAAAAATATGACACACCAGGGATAATATTAAAAAAAAAGATTTAATGAAAGGTTCAAATGATTAATGATGATAAAAAAAAATACAGACAATGTCAAACAGATTTTTGAATATTTTAAATTTTTTTAAATCTTTATTTAATCTCTTGAATTTTTTAATTTTTTGTATGTTGTATTTTTGAAAAGAGAATTTAATATGCTATCTTTTTAAATTTAAGGTATACAGGGTGCTCTAAAAACTGAGGTTATGGCAAATGACTTTTTTACAAGGAGAGGGGGGTTGGTGGTCAACAGTCTCAGCAAAAGAAACTGTTCTTGACCAACTACCGCCCTTCTGTTTTACCGCTTGTCAAAATAGGGGGTTGGGGAGGACTGATTTTACCCTTCATGATACTCTAATGAAAGCCGGCTAAATGAAAGGACTTAATTACTACCATTCATAGTTCTTGTCTTCGACCCCGTATTGTGATCGATTATAATTATCTCTATAGCGGATTGTCGGAGAAAAGTACTCACAATTGTAAAATGAATCGTCTGGACGAGACGAGGGACGAGATATATCTATTGGTGAAGTCGAAGCGAATATCTGGTTGATTCTTCTTGCATTGTAGGTACAGCGTAGATTTTCAATGTATGCCATGGTGATGTGTAAAGATCCCCCTCCCATTTAATAACCTTGCAAGAAGGTAAACAAGGATAACATTATAACCCAACTGTTTAGTACTAAACCTCGTACTAAACCGAGTACTAAACTATTTCGGTTTAAAAAAATCCGCTTTATCTGCATAAGATTTGTGCACAATTTATACTTGATGTACTTTGATTTTCCCTCGGATTTTCCCCTGTATCTCTTAAGCGAAAATTTTGACTTTTATCATACGATTGATCCAAAAAGATCACATGATCCCTATATGAGTTTTTTGATAGCACTAACAATTACGGAATATAAGTGTCGAAAATGGGACCCATTGTATATCAATTTCTTCATTGCTCGGTTTCTAATAAAATTAATTTTGTTATTAAGAGGAAAATTGACTTAAAAATCACATACAATCATTTAATCTAGGTACCCATACCCGAATCCTCTATCTATATTAACGATCATAATACGTAATCCGCCCCAACTCTTAATGTATTACTTTTTCTTTAAGGTCGATTCTTTAAAGGCAAAGTTGGTAAATTAGGGTTTGGTAGTTCAAGAGTTCATTTTGGGTTTTTGTTTAAATTGCGTTTCTCAATATTTTATTACATAGTTTGCCGATGTTTGCCTATTTATGGGTGAATATTTCGTGTGAAATATTCAAGTAGTATATCCCAAGTGCACGCCAAATACCCGAAATTCTCAGATCTGGTATTTGGCGTGCACGAGGGATATACGGGATTACTATTGCCCGACAAAAATTTTGCAAGATAAGAAGAATATAATGTTTGTTTCGATCCTTTCAAAGACATGGTTTTTCAAAAAGCATCATGAAACCGAAAATAAGCATGGGTTCAGTTACAAATTGCCATTTTACAAATTGTAATTTTCGTTAATAAAATTTGGAATCGAGTTTGGAATTATTTATTTAAGTTTCATTTTAGGTATTTACACATAAGCAATACCCGGTGCATGAATACTCGAGGATTTTTGTCTGTTGCTAGGTGATTTCTGTAATATGCATTAATATGATTGGTTGAAATTTTCTGAGGGCAATAGTCAAAGCTATTGTTGGAAAGCGATCTGTAACTTATACGACGCGGGTAAAAAATACACGGAAACCGGAATTAATTCCACATTTGAGGCAAATTTGAAAAAAAATCAAAAGTTTTAAGACATTTTAAATTATTTAGGGGTCGAGCTTTTTCGATATACCTACATTTTCCTGAAAAGTAAGCTTGGCGAGCTGAATATTTCAGCGGGACTCATTTGCCTTGGGGGCGAATATTGATCAGACGAGTATTCTGCGGACGTAAAATGCCAAGTAAATGGTATATGAATAACTTTCTCATGTTTATTGTTTTCACCATAACGGCACGTTACCATGACTTGAGTCGAGATCAGAACAGTAAGGTACATATTGGGAATAGAGGCAACAACAAAGGGTAGTTTTTTATTGTACCGTTACGTAAAAAATGGGATGCTTTATTGCATGTATACCGGGTGAATACTTTCAAACCGAACATAGGGAATTAACATGGGAAAACCGTTTTTCGCAGATTGTTGCTCCCCAAATTAACTTAGAGAGTTGATAATGCCACCATTGGAAAGAAGATTTTTTTCAGCGTTTTATGATATGCAAATTATTAACGTCTAGTAATAGTTCCACGTTTAATTATTATTTTGCGAAATTAGGTAGTCAAAATGTGTACTTGGTTTAAAAAATCAATGTAGTCATGAAAACAAGGTACGATAACGGTCAATAATTTTAATTTGTACTTACTACAAAACTTACAATGTATTCCATTGAGGAAAAAGTATTTATTGTAAAAAACGTTTACGGCGGTAATAGTTACCGCAGAGTGCGAGATTTATTTTCCGGGGAATTTAAACAAACTTCTATTCCGTCAATATCGACAATACAACAGATACACTGAGAGAAAAGAAGGCATTTATTATTAACATAGTAACATTTCGACCCAAAAAGTTTGCCTGTAGCATTTGACTCTAAATAATAACAATTGAATAATTGTAATAAGACAATGTATACAGGGTGACAATTTGAAAACTTACCACCCCCCATATCTTAGTAAATAAACGAGATATTTAAAAAAATCAAAATCCGTTTAGGTAATTCGGAGGGGGAATCACAATGACATAGTTGGCGACGCACCCCCTCCAACCCCCTGCGCCCCAGCCACCCCAACTTTTAAATCTTAAATAGTGACCCCCCATGTGTGATATATCGTTGGAAAGCTCTGAAAAAATGCTTTCCAACCATACCAAATAGCATTACATTTAGGTTAGTAATTATCGTGCAAATCAAAAAATAAACATGCTTTTTTTCTTCATTTATGTATTGAATAGATCAAATTAGTAGAATACCAGGTGCACATGACCTACAAATAATTGAAGGTTGGTTCACAATCAGTTGTCGTGTCAGTGCGTGGCCTGTGGGGTCAAGTTGTCGTATCTTAAAGTTGCTATGGCTTCACATGGCTTCTTTAAAAAAATCTTACCGAGTGCTCTTCATCATAAAGACTATAGTTGTTGTTCATAGTCACACAAGTTGCGCGATTTGGGAATGTAAACCGCGCACACCTCATAGATTGATGTTTTTTTTTTAAAATCGAACATAGGGAAATTACATTGCATGCAAACTCCTATGTTCGCATTTAAAAAAACTCACTGTATAATAAACGATTCAATTGATTTTATGCTGATAGGCAAATTATTATGATAGATATAGGATATACCTAGCTAGGTATTTTGTATTATAAGAATAGGTATTGTTTCTGTTCTGTTTTGTATTTTGTAATTAAGATATAAAATAAATTGATATTTTACAAGGGATATAATTTATTTTAATCGCCGTACACGCTACCCAACAAATTCTTTTGACCAATCTATGCATGTATAATAATTAGTAGATGTTACGTTTACTGTGAGATTTAAACAATAATAAACAATCAAGATATCCATTAGATGAAAGCACAGTTCACTTGATTTTAAAAACAACTGTGTTTAAATTGAAGTAAGAGAAGAAGTCATTCGGTAGTAAGTATTTCATAATGAATAATGTGTAAGGACTGAACATTTCATGTAAAACAATATATCATATGATGTAGATCATGTTTGTAGTGTTAAATATAAGTTACACTTAACACAAGATAACAAAGAGTTCCAAATACTTCAAACATCTTACAACTAAGAATTCTACATTTAGTTGTAATCGAAGTATATTTATTATTAACCCATTGTAGAGTTACATATAGAACAAGGTAACCTTTCACTTAGGTACTAAACATTTCTTTATATCTCAAATGCGTTACAACTACAACTTCAACGTTTGCCCATAAATAAGGTGCATTAATTGTTACCTATTGCAGAGTTTCATACAAAAAAGATACTTCACTATAAGAAATTGTTTTAGTTCCATTAATAATTCGGATGTATAACGCTAAGAAATTGTTTGTATCTTAAGAAACATTACTCAGAATCGCCTGTGAGTTCGGCAGAATACGAAGTTACAGGATAAATGTAACCGTAAACGGGTACTTACAAGTAATTCTTTCTCTCAGTGTAGTTTTTCAATTTGACAATTCCGGTTGCTTAAATCTACGGGTCCATGGCTACATGATTTTCTGAGTTCATTTTATTTTGCGAATTTTTGATAAAATAATGAGGAAATACAACTAAAACTAACCAATTCGCATTTAGTTAGATGAGAAAAAAATCTTCTTTCCAGTGGTGCCATTATGAACCCTCTAAGTTAATTTGGGGAGCAACAAGCTGCGAAAAACTGTTTTCCCATGTTAATTCCCCATGTTCGGTTTGAAAGTATTCACCCGGTATACATGGCAAGTAGAATTTGAAACTTGTTAGAATCAAACCACATATGGAAATGGTGTTCGAAAGTTTTGCCTAAAGCGTCCTTGAGATATGGAGAACTGTCACTTGATCTGGTTATCGACATTTAATATTGATTGTTTTTGTAACTCGCGGAGGTGACGATAATTGAAAAAAAACTAGTATGTTACCCATTGGTTTCAGATTTCTAACCTCAATGTGCACTGTTCTGTAATTGGAGGTAATGATGTGCAATGAATTGTAATGTGAATGTAAGAAGTGTCAATCGCGCGCATTTTTAATAACGCTATTCATTCTGTTTCAGTGAAAAATGGTTAAAAGAAAGGCTGCCGTAAAAATGCCAACTGAAGACGCGTGTTCCAGCGCGATCCTTTAATCTCGCGTGTTAATTAAGTAAAGTGATTTATAAACTGTTAGAAAAATGGCATCAGAAGAAAGTGTTAAGCAGACAAATAAAAACGGCACGGATTCGCCTAAAATTAACGAGCCGGCCGAGGACGATCCGTGCATAGAGATCAAAAGCAGTTTGGATAAACCGCGATTTTTGGTAAAAACTGAAAATCAGTTGCGCGAAAAGACCGGGCTTTCGCGTCTTGGATTATACATCGCCATTGTTCTACTAATCGTTTTAATAATATTAGTGATAATAGTACTCTCGCTGGCCATCGCGTGGCCCAATATACCGCATAGTGCCCAGTTTTCAATTTGTCAGGATCCTGCGTGTCTTCGAGCCGCTGCACAGGTAAGATTTTGGTCATTTTCATTTCGAAGCAGATGTAGAACGTATATGTTGGTAGTTAAATACTCAGCTACTTCCCTTAGGCTGTAAATAATCCGAGATAAACTATACAAACCCTTTCTTAACAAGCCCTTATATTTTTAAATGCGGATGTGGCGTGTGTTGACATCTGCTTCTTTTTGTGTTCGAGGACAAGGGATTTAATGAACCCTAAATACATGCTGCTTAAAAGAGAATTATGTTAGAAAATACAAAACATGCCTTTGAATATAATTCATATAGGTAAATTCATCTTGTAACGAGGTTCTCTATAATTGATGATAATGTTGCACTATTTGGAAAACAGCGAAAACGTACTTCTACATTGGTATTGTGCTCGGTATTGTGTACAACCAAATAAAACTGCCATAAAGTACAAAACATACAATAAGGTACAAATAACAATACGACTCTTGGCGGTTTGCAGAACAGCTTAAAACAAGGTTTTTACCTCAGTTTTTAGTAACTGTTTTCCAATAAAATTTTGAACACAGAGCAGTAAACTTTCCAAGAAGACTTTCCAGAATTTTAAAAAGGCTTTCAAATAGCATTCTAAAAAATTCACTTATGGTTTTTAAAAGGAGCTTAATGTCAATTTCGATGAGTTTCCAAGAATATGGCTAGAAAGACTTCCCATGTTTATGAGATTCAAGGAATGTTTCTAAAAAAATTACAGACAGAATATGTTTAAACAATTTTCTACGATGTAATTTAATGTCATTTTTATAATAATTTTACATATTCTAAAAACTACTTTGAGGCAGAGTTTTAAGACAAATTTCTAATACGATTCTAAGATTTCTTCAGAAGACTTTCCAAAAGGTTTCGAAAGTGTTGTAGTAGGTCCTCGCAGTAGTGTTTAGGATTCCTGAGAATTTTTGCAAATAGGTCCTTTCTATATAAAGGTTTGTATGACTATTTTAAGAAAATTGCAAAGCGGCTTGCCAAACAGATTTTCAAAGAAGTTAAATATTATACAGAACATTTTTTTTCTATTTCGGTGTTACAATGAGAATTTTGTGCAACTGTTTTCGGCAAAAACAGTGTTTCAATGAGTTCCATTGTAACATTGTTTTTGGTAACTTTTCATCTCTAAGTTGGCAGTTCGCCAAGACGTCAACGTCAAATCATCAGATGTGAAATCAAATTACGTAAAATTTACGTGTTTTCCTTGATTTTTGGTACACGAAGAACTTAATACATTCCAAATCAGCAGTTTACACATCCACCATAAATAAATTTATCTACGAATAAAAAATTACACATTCACGGAATTTAAAGTTTCCAAATGTCAGTCTTGTGTTTATCTACGCTGCCAACTTAAAATTTGTCAACGTAAATGGTATTGCCAACTTAAGACATATTAATTCTAAAGTTTCCTGTAGTATTTCATAATTACTTTTTAATTAAATTAAAGCCCCGAAATAGAAAAAATAGTATGAAAAACACGTGTTACAATGCTTTATTGTAATACTCATATCTTGTGGACACTCGTGGCTCCGCTTCGCTACGCCACTCGTGCCACAAAATAGTCGTATTACAATAGGTCGCATTGTAACACTTGTCTTTCAATATACTATTTAAAGACGCTTTTTATGGTATCCAAAACTATAGAATGTTTGCTACCAATCTACGTACCGAGGGGTTAACCACTATTAAGAATTGTGACAGTATTGCGCGAAATCGTAAATCGATACGATTTCGCAAGGATTTCGCGCAATTGTACCTAAGGGATTTCGCGCATTCCCAAGAGATTTCGTGAAATTGTAAGGGATTTCGGGAAATAGTTAGGGATTTCGCAGCTTTTAAAAGATTAGGAAGATGTCCTAGAGATTTCGCGAAATAATCGGCGAGTGCTAGAACTTGCAACAGATTTCAAATACCTTTTGATCATCGACTATAATCAAAGAAACACCCTCCACTGTAGGTAGGGTGCGATCGCATTAAAGTTCTTAGAAATGTAACGATTTCGCGAGCGATTTCGCGGAGTTCGCAAGAGATTTCGCGAATTTCGCAAGCGATTTCGCGCATTTCGCAAGCGATTTCGCGGATTTCGCAAGCGATTTCGTAGATTTCGCAAGTTTTAACGTGATTTCCAGAGTTTCTGCAAAGATTTCGCGATTTCGCAAGGGATTTCGCATGTTTTATTGAAATTTGTGACACGATTTCGCGAAGTGGTTTACCCCTCGTGTATACATAATTATTTCTTTAATTGTACCTGGTCTATTGTGTTTAATAATAAATGAAGGAAATTAAACAAAGCTGGAAAGTATAGAAATAAACATACCTTGATTTTTGGTGGGCTAACTGTTCGCAATAACACTACTCACTACATTGATGCATCATAAAATTGATTAGGTTTGATTGTGATTTTGTAGGTAAAGTAAGCACAACCCGCACAAATTATTACACCATAGGAGGTACACCTATGGGATGGGGTGGGGTCCAGATCTTTCTCCCAACATGAATCTCAACATGTGCATTTTTTTGTTAAATTTTGTTTTAATTTTTAATACATCTAAAGAAAAAAATTTATCGTTATTAATTAACAGATACTAATAAAATATAATTTATCCTGGTGTGTCAAGGTAAAAATCAATAATATGCTAAGTAATTGATTAATGTATGTTCAACTAAGTGCTAAAGTAATTTATTCCAGTAGTGAGAGCTAATATTAATTAGTTCGTCGGTTGTAAAATTTATTAGGGATTACTTTCCTGCAGAAATTAATGATGTACTATTCTGTACATTAACTTATTAATGAATGTCATATACCTACTTAAATGGTAAAACGATTGTGCTCAGGTAATTATTATTCGGTTGTTATTAATAGTAGTAATTATAGGACCTTCTAACTTAAAAGTCACTAGGTGTGAAAAAGTCACTAGAACAGTATCTAGATGATACTCTGTAATAATTATATGGCCGATTCCATTGAACTATACACGGTGTCCATTTTTGGAAAAACAAAACGTTCTTTTGTTGGGAACAAAAGGTTGACTTATTTCAAGTAGTGTAATTTACGTTTGTGCTAGATTTATTGCGAAAATATTATTTATTTGTTACTCAGTTGCAAACGTTAGATTAACAACACAAAACGCAAACGGATAAACGTCATGTTTAAACGCTACTGACTTGTAAAACTGACAACTGACTTGTAAAACTGACAGCTGACCTGTAAAAATTTTACAAGTTAGTAATCTAGTAATTTCATTGGCCAGAATTAATGCGAAGTCTCTGTTACATGGATAACATGATATTTTAGACATTTCTTCGAGATCAATTTAAGAACTAATTATTTACGTTTACAGATGAGTAACAAATAAAATATTGTACATTATACGCCAGGTAGGTAATAGTTTTTACTGGCTCTAGGAGATGACAGGCTCGCCTAACGGCTCGCCAGTCAACTTCTCCTATCGCCAGTAAAAACTCACTTACCTGGCTAATAATGTAAAATACTATTTCCTACTACCTCTTTAGAAACTATCATTTCTCGTCCCGTTTTTAGGGTCGAAAGCTGCACTTTTCCTCCCTAAGGGAGGAAAAATGTTTTTCCTCCCTCAACTCCATATAACGTACCTAAGCTTATAACTAAACAAAATACCCTTCAATTACAACTAACTTTATTTATATGTACTTGTTATTCTCAGTGCTAGTAGAAGAACCGAAGTTAAAGGTGCAATTAGTAACATTGTTGAAAGTAATGTTACCAGAAAAAGGTGAGGAAGATTGATTAACGTTGAAACCTGTACTTGTCAATGTTTGTAGAGTTCATTTGATGTTCTCCAGAAACTTTTGAGGAGAGCATTCCGCATGTAATTTGGTTAGAAACTTTACTTTTTTTTACGATTGATTCTCCTAAATAGCCCTCGGCTACGTTGGTAGAGCGCCATCCTCCGTGTCTCTTTAAACTCAATAAATCTCCTCCAGCATCAACCAACGCGGAGGTGCGCCGAAAACTATGCCCAGTGTAACCTTCTGCATCTGGTAGCTCGAGGTACTTTGCAATTTTATATGGTATTTTGGCAATTGTATTTTTCCCTATGACTTGGATAGTGCACTTCCCTTTTATGTAATTAACAAAAAATCTTGTATGTTCAGTTTTAGCAGAGCGTAATGAAACATATTTTCTATAAATTCCATGTACACTTGTTCCATTAATGGTTTCGTTAGTGATTACAAATGTTATTTGCATTTTTGTTTTGCTATCGGGTATTTTCACAACTAATATGTCTCCATTATCCTGAATATCATGCAATGTCAATTTAATTAGCTCATCGCAACGGCAAGCTCCGGCAAGTCCAATAATTAAAGCAACCTACGAACAAAATATAGCGTTCATAATGTAGGTATCAAATTCAAATCATCTCATAATTACCTTCATTTGCAAGTAATAGTCATCGGGCGCCTCCGAAAGTAATCTGTTTAGGTCATTCCTACAGAAAATTTTAGCTTTCTTTGGTTTATACCCATTTCCTTGACGTATAAGCAAAGCTATGACTTTTGCATACTTAATGTCAACGTTGTCGTTTATAAGTAATGTGGTACGTAACATTGAATATTTACTCCACATCGTCGATGGTTTAAGCGTTTTAGAATGATGCGCAAAATATGCTAAGATTACCTCTTCAGCAATTTTCTTGACTTTTCTCCCCATCATCCAATTTTTGAAAGCAGTATATTCTTTTTCGTATCTGTCCCTAGATTTTGCAGGCAGTAGATCAAGCGATGCCTGATTAGCTTCTTCTAAAATGTCTGAGGGAATATTTTCCTCTAAATCACTTTCTATTTCCATATTTCCTGATGAAAAATTACAGAAACGACCAGTACACAAGCNTCGGTTACGTTGCGCTAACAAGCTCCCCAGGTATGATCATGAAATTGATAGAAATGGATAGAGGACACCTTAATTACACGTTATCAGTTAAAAAATTTGCGGAAGAAGCCTTACATTTTCCACAATCTTCATTCAAAGTTCACTTCATTTCGTCGTAAGTGAGGTTATATTATTCAAATTACATTGTTGATTTTAAGTTGGTTATAGTGTTCTTAAAATTCCTCGGTGCCAACTTTAATTTCTTAAGAGGTTATGTTATTTTTTCACGATATAATAAACATTAAATAATGATGTACAAGTATTCTACATGTGTTTTTAATTATATCATAATAGTAGTAAGCAGTTCCCTACATGTTTTGTTCCTTCCCCTCTCGACCGTATTAGGCGATGGATGCTAAGCGGCGATGGATACGAAAAAGGCGTTCCAAGTTAAGCGGCGATGGATACGAAAAAGGCGTTCTAAGTTAAGCGGCGATCGCTAACGTAGCTGCGATCCATGGGAAATGCGAGAGATGTTCCTTCCCCTCTCGACCGTATTAGGCGGTGGATGCTAAGCGGCGATCGATACGAAAAAGGCGTTCCAAGTTAAGCGGCGATCGCTAACGTAGCTGCGATCCATGGAAAATGCGAGAGATGTTCCTTCCCCTCTCGACCGTATTAGGCGGTGGATGCTAAGCGGCGATCGATACGAAAAAGGCGTTCCAAGTTAAGCGGCGATGGATACGAAAAAGGCGTTCCAAGTTAAGCGGCGATCGCTAACGTAGCTGCGATCCATGGGAAATGCGAGAGATGTTCCTTCCCCTCTCGACCGTATTAGGCGGTGGATGCTAAGCGGCGATCGATACGAAAAAGGCGTTCCAAGTTAAGCGGCGATCGATACGAAAAAGGCGTTCCAAGTTAAGCGGCGATCGCTAACATAGCTGCGATCCATGGAAAATGCGAGAGATGTTCCTTCCCCTCTCGACCGTATTAGGCGGTGGATGCTAAGCGGCGATCGATACGAAAAAGGCGTTCCAAGTTAAGCGGCGATGGATACGAAAAAGGCGTTCCAAGTTAAGCGGCGATCGCTAACTTAGCTGCGATCCATGGGAAATGCGAGAGATGTTCCTTCCCCTCTCGAACGTATTAGGCGGTGGATGCTAAGCAGCGATTCATATGAAACATGCAGGAAGTGCCCGGGTTTCCCCTCTCGGTGAGCGATACCAAGAAATCGATTTTTGCCACATGCAACCTTCTCTACGACATCCTTCTTCCCTGATGCATTCAAGTTTAGATTGTATAAGTTTCAAAAAGTGGTGTTATTAAAATGTCAGTCACATGGAAGTGTCGCTTATTTGGTGTTTAAGTCGAACAAAACCTAAAATTGTATTGTATATTATACCTGTTGTACTACTTTTATTACATTCTATTAATATACACGTTAAATCCAGCACATTTCATTTTAGTAGACGAAGAAGTTAACATAACCCCCTACACAAATTTACTGTCACCTGTGTTTATTAGTGGAAAAAGAGTTGTCACATAAAATTTTTCAGTTTCGCCAACTTAAGAATTACAAAATATACGTAAAATAACACCAGATTTCCAGAAAATGAGGTGAACTTTTAATTAAGATTGTGGAAAATTTAGGCCCTCTTCCGCAAATTTTTTTATTCTAAACGTGTTATTAAAGTGTCCTCTATCCATTTCTATCAATTTCATGATCATACCTGGGGAGCTTGTTAGCGTAACGTACCCAGCAATTTTCTTGACTTTTCTCCCCATTCATCCAATTTTTGAAAGCAGTATATTCTTTTTCGTATCTGTCCCTAGATTTTGCAGGCAGTAGATCAAGCGATGCCTGATTAGCTTCTTCTAAATGTCTGAGGGAATATTTTCCTCTAAATCACTTTCTATTCCATATTTCCTGATGAAAAATTACAGAAACGACCAGTACACAAGCTACTGTTTATACCGCTACCATGGCAACATAACTTCACCATGGATACATCCTAAATTTTTTAGAGTAACTAGATGGCAAGCGGTCATCTTACCGTAGAAATCTTTGCTAAATTAAAGTTGAGGTAGTAGAAAAAATCATATGTATAACTCTGGAGGAAAGTACATATTCCTCCCTTGTGTGATTACTGCCCTCCGCTTCGCGTCGGGCATTAAACTTCACACGCGGGAGGGAATCTTTAACTTTCCTCCCTTGTTATACAAATAGCTAATTCTTCTTAAGTATTTTGTTCTAATTTGAATTATAATTTTCTTGCAAAACGAAGGTTCAATTATATTCAGATGAAAATCTCAACTCAACTAGTTCCCTACCAACGCTCTAACCAGACAGATGGATCAAACTGTCATACTTTTGTTCACGGTAAAAGAACGTTTTGTTTTTCCAAAGCACTCTTCCCGAAAAATTAAAAAGTGTCTGAATAATGTTTTTTTGCGATATTTTCAAAACTACTAAAGATATTTTTAATTTCTGTTCAGATTATTATTCAGCACGAAAATTCGCAACTTTGCCCTCATTTAACCAACTCTCTATCTCTTCAGGTAAGCGAGATCCCCATAGTGGCACTCGAAAAATGGACACCGTGTATACTCGTAACTGGAAGGGAATCAAGCATATTATTAGTGCACGGCTTCCATGGACGCATTTGTCGCCTATACCGGTCTCCCTTCCAGTTACGTTGTTTATAGTTCAATGGGCAGATTCTAACTCAAAAAGTCACTAGATGTGAAAAATCCCTAGAACAGTAACAAGGTTTGCGATTCTAAATCAAAAAGTCACTAGAAAACTAACTAGGTTTGAAACTGTGTTGCGTGGTTTCTATAGTGGAGCTCTGAACTAGGGTTTGTCAAAGTTAATGATGATTACCGATTTCGGGGTCATGCGTCCTACATAGGTTATTCGATCGTTTGAGGGCTATGCTCCAATTAGATATTGATTGATTACCGATTTCGGGGGCACGAGTCATCTCTGAGATCTGTGGGTGCGCTATTGCAGCCACTTTCTCTGTCCGTCCGTCCGAGGCCTTAACTACTCCTACCGCTCTCAAGATATTTAGTTCATTCTTTTTCAGCCTTATAGCTCTGGCACCTGAGCCAAGAAAAATCTTGACGACAAATGTGCCCATGCGCAGGTTGTGCACTATCACTATCAGCTTTCTTATTCATGAATTAAATTATTTTGTATTAAAGTTCACTCAGAAAGTTAGAATTTTAATTCAAAGAAGGGAGGTTCGACTCGACCCCCTTTATATGCAACCGTGTTGTAACAACCGCCCGTAAGTACCTCCTTCTTGTCTTATGGACTGAGACATAAGAAGTCTACAGGAGGTTTCGTAGTTCTATGGCAAGCCTCGGCTCTTGTTCTAGATTCAAATATGAATAATAATTAATGAAATAAATTGCACACTTGTAGGTGAAACTTTGAACATCGATTACTATTATAGTATTTGAAAAGCGGAGCTTTTCCATCTAATGTAATTCATGAGTGGTTGTGTCAACAACTGTTAATTGAAAATGGGGCAACAAGTTATAGAATCATATTAAATCGTGCGGTTCCTTCGAGAGCATAAGATTTATTCAGTCTGTCTCAAAATGGACCCTTTAAATTCCCCTTAGACTCATTAACCAACCTGAAACAGAACATTCAGCAAATTATATTCAAAATGACGAGGCACCTCTGCGACACAAGTCCTGGCAGCACCGGTATCCATTTGTTTTCCAACTTGGGTATCTCCTTCTTGTGCGATTCCGGACAAATTGACCTGGGGACTGTCGTATAAATTTTCGGACGAAAAAATCGGTAATCTACATTCGAGGTCTTATTCCTTTTCCAATAAAGTCTTGCTTCTTCGCCAACTAAAAAAGGTATTGATATTACGCGATCTGTTTTATTTTCGTTCCGGCTGAAGTGTTAATTCCCGAAATAAATGTTGATATTCGATGTGGCTGCTTTATTTATTGGAGGCAGGCATTTACACGGTTATAAATAAGTGATAAAAAGCATAATGTTACTTACGTGTCAGGAGTTCCCGTAATGGATGATACGTCGCGATGGTCCACGGACGCAGTTTTTTAGTAATATTGCGGTATTCTTCACAGCGACAGGTTTCCATTTACTTTATCTGAAAAAAAACTGGTAAACAATTTTGTCATTTACAGTGTCACTGACATTAAGAAAATATGTCACTATGATGTAGATGCTTTTGATAACGTGATGTTATTGCTCGTAATGCGCCACTTTATGGAAATATCAACATTTCGGAAGTAAAGTATTTGATACATTAAGGGAAATAGTAAGGTAGTAAGTTTATCGAAACTGTTACGATCGTGAAAAGTTTCCATCCATTTCCTGCTCTTGAAATTGAATTGACTAAATTTTGATGCTGAAGTTGGCGACGAACAGTCAAACTCTTCTACTTTGTATAACGTCGCGTTCGTTTCTCATTGGCTATTTCATAGTCTGCTAATTTTACGTATGTCTTGCAGTGGTGCGGTATTATTGTTTTTGTTTCGTGAATGGTCTTGTAGTGGTGTGGCTTTCAGGCGAGGAGTTCCACCTTCCATTCGTGAAGGCAGTCGAACTCCCTGAAAGAGTTCCTGAAACGTATTTTATGCCTGGACTTCCAGGTGTCGGCAACACAACGTGTTTGTTGCAGAATCTGTTCCATGGTAATACAAGCGGCGGTATCGCAGCTCAGGGTGATTTTACCTTTCCGAAATAAACCCTAAAATGTAAAACAATACAAATTTACAACATTTACAAATATACAATCATAATTGACAAATAGGTAAAATTCAACCACCAATCATAACGATCTTCGAAAACACAACAGCCCTCCATAATCACGTTCAAAGTTTTCAGATAGGGCATTCCTGTTACATGTTATAAGAAACGTTCTTCGATATCTGTCTGGATCAGAAAGTTATTAGCCCTGCGTTTCCACTTACGCCAAGAAACGCTCACATCTTAGTGCCTGCAACGACCAAATAAAATCTTATCACGTTATCTAAATTGAGTAATTTACTAAAGTGCTAAAATTAACGAAATGAAAAAAAGTGCCTACACAATATTTCTAAAAGGAAAAACAAATACTGAAATACAAATTCAAACAAAACAAACCAAATTTACTTCAAAAATATTCCACATACAGGGTGCTCCAATCATATTGAAGGAGATGAAACCAAAATAACGTCTGCGTGACGTAGTTTACACAACAATACGTATACCCACAAATCATAGTCTTCTTGAAAATACCCTTAGAAACCTTCAAAACCCATTTTGGAAAGTAATTTTGGAAACTTGCTCTTAAAATCTCATTGGGATTTGTAAACGTCTACTTCGAAACCTTCTCCTAAGCCTTTTACTAAACATGTTCCGAGACGCATCCTTCGAAATAGTCTTCGTTTTGTTTTGGGACTCATATTTTTTTTTAATGAAATTGACGTACGATTTTGAGGTACAACAGACGAACGGAAAAGTTAATCCGGATTAAGGTTTCGCAATGGCCACTCTCTGGTTATCCTAAGTATGTGCAAACCTTAGATTTTTAAAAACGTAGCCTCCACATTGATTCAGTCTCTATTCCCCCCTATTTGTATAAGCCTGCATGTTATACTCTTTAAGGAATTCAGTAATTAGACGGAGACAATCTGAATTTCATTGCAAACAGTCGTCTTTGTAGATACGTACTTACGATCCGACGTAATCTTCTTGCGTTTGCGAATCGAGACAGTACTCTTGTTGTACCGACTGGCACCATGTGGCAGTCAATCTCGAATGCAAATAAAAACGTACATCTACATCTGCACGAATGAGAATATGCTCCGCATCTTTACGGTCAATGGATTTTAATTACTTAAATTTCTTTGCTTAATAGGTACAGGAGAGTTGGAATTCTTCCGTGTCGCCGTGCGAGGATGTTTGGGGTTGGGCGTGCGGCAGGTGGCTCCAAAATAACCCCTTGCCTATCGACCGTAGCTTCTGGAGTGAGCGTCAAAAGAGACAACGGGATGGTAAGTCTGTTTATTTATCATTTGCTTATTCTATTTGATTATTTGGTTATTGCAAACAAATCGGCGAATTATACATTTGAACAAAGTTGCATCGTTACTCTCCCAAGATAATGTAACGTTTTTCTCTTCGAAAATTAAATTGCAATTTCGGTTTACGAGAGTGAAAAAAAAACTCACCCGGTATATCTCTTTTCAATGTAAATTTCCGTAGTAGTAGCCTTAACAAATTTTGTAGAATTCTCCGGCAACCTTGTGAGAATACTGTAGAAGTGGCCACAGATTCGGCTGATATCTGACAGAGGAAGACTATCTTGAGGTTGTTCAGGCCTTCAGGGCCCGAGTCAGAAGAATACGAGAAGGAAATAAAAGGGAATGACGAATCATGTACGTCCCTGAATTTATTATTGTGTTTCCAAACCGTAAACTTTAATAGCCCCAACACATAATAATGATAGAATTATTAACATTAACTTTTGCTTTCTAACATTTTATGGTACTCATGATTCACAAAATAAGATTGCCAATAAACACCCATTTTTAGCGCATTTCAAAATAAAAAAAAAAATGCGCTATTGTGACCACTTTGTCCGCCCGTTCGTCCGTCCGTCCGTCCGTTCGTCCGTCCGTCCGTCCGCTCGTTTTGTGACGCTACTAGTTTTTTATCTTAAGAGCTATTGTTCCACTTTTTTCGCTATTTGGTTCGTTATGGTGTCGAGTCTTGCACCAAGGAAGGAATTTTTCTGTACCGCTTACAAAAAAAGTTATTGTAAAAAAAAACAAAAAACCGTTTTTTACATGTTCCATAATTTTACGCTTTTGCCGTTTATTAACGATCCTAGAGATCGTTTATAATTTTCCATTGCTGTCTGTCGTCTGCCTGTTGGTCTGTCTGTCTGTTCCTTTGTCTGTCTGTCCCTTTATCTGTCCGTGTGAACGATAACTTTGTTTAGAAATGTCCGATCGCTCTTACATCTCCGTTAGTTATGAACTGAATTGCATGAAATTCAATATGGGCATAGCTATAGCCATATAATACGCAATACCAAAGGTTGAGTCGAATCGATTCAAAATTCACAGTGCCCTTTTCGCATCTCGACCATTTATAAACCGAATTGCAAACTTTTTTAATTATAAAAGTATTTAAATGAAATTTTATACATAGTCACTTGGAATAAAAGCAAATTTAACGCCAGTTTCAAAATTTGGTTTTGCGCATGCGCAGTGCCAACTTTCTTATTTATGGAGGGATTTAAATGAAATTTGATACAATAGAAAATCTAACGTTAGCTTCATAATTTAGGTTTTCGCATACGCAGTTCCAACTTTCTTATTTAGAAAAGCATTGAAATGAAATTCTTCTTATAAACTGAAATTGAAGTAGGACATCAAAATGGATTGCACATTATGCAACGCTATCTTTCATATTTGTGGCCGGATTTTTACAATTTTAACAAAAGTTGCATCTTACAAATAGGAAATGAATGCAAGTTGAAATGCGCTTTATGTAAATCGTTTACGATTACTTTTTAACTTCATTTTTTAACAATACCTATGTATCTTAGTTACTATAATGTTAATTTTATGTTGCAATTACGTATATTGTTCCACTTAATGTGAACATTTTCAGCTCCACTATCGGTGGTAATTGTCTGAAAATTGCAATGGAAACGAAATAATCACGCAAAACCAAACCTTTTCCTGGTTTTTGCAAATTTACACTCATTTTTGCGAGTGTATGTTGTAGAAAATTTAATGTTACAAAATTTGTCAAGGCTGCAGAAAATTCCATTGAAAAGGGATATCTGGGAAAAACTAGATTTTGAAGCTATTTCGGCTGGTGTTTCAAGATGGCGGCGCGCGCACGTCTCCATCAGAATCGAAAACTTGGATTTAACATTAGGAGACATCTATATTATAACTCAGGGGTTAAAAAACTGTAACAAATAACCCAGGGATCTTACTAATATTATTATTCTTTATCGAAGAAAATTGGATCCCCCAATCCCCACTTCTTAGGGGGGGGGGGGACTTTGTAATTTGAAATGGCAACCCACATTTTTTTATTCCATATCTCGATTCTACTCAAAGAAGCATTTATTCGAAACATTGTTTTGTCATGGAAACGGGTGTGATTTTGAACAATAAATTGGGTCATTGACAAAGATATACTTATACAATTATCGATCATATCAACTCAAAAAGGAATTGGGGGAAAGTAGTGTCACTTCCCACTAAGTTTATTGGTCATATCAATATCGATGTGCTATGAATACAGAGTTGGCAATCATGCATGCCGTTGGAACAACCCTCTAGACTCCCAAAGAATGTATTAGCGTGTAGACGTTTATAAGTTGAATGCTCGACTGTACAATACATTAAAGGAAGTTGTGTAGATCCAGTGGCGTGCGATATTTACTGTTTCCGAGTACCTGCTCATATCATAGATAAAAACACTTACCTACTTTCAATGCCGATTTTTTGCATTTATAAGATATACTTGCTAGTCCTGTCTAGTTACTCTGGTAATTTCATTGATTTTGCCCAGTTCCATTAGATTTCAGTTTGTCAAATGCAGGAAAACACTTTATTTATTAATTTAAGGTGGCGTTTACAAAAAGTGCAAAAGTTGCCTTGAACTTGAACTTGAACTTTTGTTAACGACCTATGGTTGCTAAAGGTTGAAGCTTGTGAATGAAGTTAAATTATTGTCAGTGTGTGATAAAAATGAAAGATATATATTTTATATGGGAGTTTTTAACAACTTATTTCCTAAATAACGGCGAAAGTGCAGGAATTAGCTAAATAATTTGTTTCATGCAAATGTCGGAACATTATATATTTGAATGAAAGTTATTTCAACCAAAAATTTGTACCCAGAAGGCAGTTATTGTGGAAACAAATTTCCAATTTTTACACGGTTGTTATTTAATAATTTCAATTACAACATAATGATCGTTTACTAAAGTAGCCCGAGCCCCGAGTTTATTTTACAAGCGAAACTCTATAATATACGCTTATATTATTATTATACATAATGGTGAATATGTACAATTTGCCAATCTGATATTGTGGATATTAATGTCATCAATCATCATTACGAAAACAAAAATTGCTCTCATTAGAGTCCTCTTCGCCTAAATCCATACATCATTATCGCAAGTATCAAGAACATGTTCTGAGTTCATAAACTGGAATGTTCGCATGCTGATTGTATGACACTTGAACAATCTTGGACAAAATTTTGTTTTTGCTAACCTTTTTAATATCGTCCAGCTTGAATATGTAGTGTTATGGTGAAACAACCCACATTTTTTAAAGGGGATTCAATTCGGGATGATATGGCGGAAGTAGCAAAACTGAATGTCCATGGGCTGCCAGTGCAGAATCAACAATATACTTTTTTGTATCAGACTGAGATGTGTATCTTTTTATTACTTCATACAACTCCAGTTTGGTCACCTTTTTGGTTGCATCTCTTCTTTTCTATTCGACGGTGCGATGTTCTTTTCTAAGAGTGTATTATGGTAAGCTGCGTTGTCCATAACAACGACAGATTTTGGAAGAAGATTTCATGTCATCATGGTAGTCTCCAGTTTTGCTTCCGAATTTAAAAATTAGTAACGCATTTGGTACAAATCCACCATCATGCAGTGCGTGTAAAATCACAAAACGTGGATCTTTCTCTATTGGTGGATGTAATGCCTCCAAAGTTCCGTCTGACCAAGAAGAACGAAACATCATATTTCTCCATGGGGCTCAATTTTTTCTGCTAATACACTCACATTTGAAATTGAAACCATATGGTCCTTATAGTTGGAAAATAAAGAACCGTTTCGATTAACGAGAAGAGGCGATAAATCGTTCATGACTGAATTTAATAGTATATTAAGTAACAAGGGATTAAAAAGAGTTTTTGTTTCTGAAAGAATGGTTTAAAGTCCGAGGCTTGCCGAGTGCTTTAATATTCTTGAGGGACCAAAAAACTAGTTTAATCCAGTGTTACTTATACTATTTTTTCCAATACCGACCGATCTGAATCAATTTCGCAATTAATATGCTTTTTATTATAAAAAAATTGTGAAAAAGTAAGGTAGCCATACCTGTAAACCCTTTTAAAAATATGGAAGAAGAAAGTGACGAAGCATATGAAGGCACCTCTTTCATCCCCTAAGATATCACTTACTTGCTGATAAAGGTTTGTTTGTTTAAAACATTGAATGCTAATGTTTGTGCTTGTAGATTGTGACAATTGCAGGAGGAATTGTTAACAAGTTAAAAAGTAATCGTAAACGATTTACATAAAGCGCATTTCCACTTGCATTCATTTCCCATTTGTAAGATGCAACTTCTGTTAAAATCGTAAAAACCCGGCCACAAATATGAAAGATAGCGTTGCACATGGGCAATCCATTGTTGACGTGCTACTTCAATTTCAGTTTATGCGAAGAATTTCATTTCAATGCTTTTCTAAATAAGAAAGTTGGAACTGCGCATGTGCAAACCTAAATTTTAAAACTAATTTACTATAACTAACTAATAAACTAAGATTTTCCTTTGTTCCAAGCGCCTAAGTATCAAATTTCACTTAAATAGTTCCATATATAAAAAAGTTGGCACGGCGCATGCGCAAAATAAAATTTTGAAACTGGCGCTAGATTTTCCTTTATTCCAAGTGCCTATGTATCAAATTTCGTTTAAATTCTTCCATAAATAAAAAAGTTGGCACTGCGCATGCGCAAAACCAAATTTTGAAATTGGCGTTTGATTTTCCTTTATCCCAAGTGCCTATGTATCAAATTTCGTTTAAATTCTTCCATAAATAAAAAAGTTGGCACTGCGCATGCGCAAAACCAAATTTTGAAATTGGCGTTTGATTTTCCTTTATCCCAAGTGCCTATGTATCAAATTTCGTTTAAATTCTTCCATAAATAAAAAAGTTGGCACTGCGCATGCGCAAAACCAAATTTTGAAATTGGCGTTTGATTTTCCTTTATCCCAAGTGCCTATGTATCAAATTTCGTTTAAATTCTTCCATAAATAAAAAAGTTGGCACTGCGCATGCGCAAAACCAAATTTTGAAATTGGCGTTTGATTTTCCTTTATTCCAAGTGCCTATGTATCAAATTTCATTCAAATACTTTTATAAGTAAAAAAGTTTGCAATTCGGTTTATAAATGGTCGAGATGCGAAAAGGGCACTGTGAATTTTGAATCGATTCGATTCAACTTTTGGCATTGCGTATTATATGGCTAAAGCTATGCCCATATTGAATTTCATGCAATTCAGTTCATAACTAACGGAGATGTAAAAGCGATCGAACATTTCTAAACAAAGTTATCGTTCACACGGACAGATAGATGGACAGACAGACAAAGGAACAGACGGAGAGACCAACCGGCAGGCGACAGATAGCAATGCAAAATTATAAACGATCTCTAGGATCGTTAATAAACGGCAAAAGTGTAAAATTATGGAACATGTAAAAAACGGTTTTTTGTTTTTTTTACAAAAACTTTTTTTGTAAGCGGTACAGAAAAAATTCCTTCCTTGGTACAAGACTCGACACCATAACGAACCAAATAGCGAAAAAAGTAGAACAATTAGCTCTTAAGATAAAGAACTAGTAGCGTCGCAAAACGAGCGGACGGACGGACGGACAGCCGGACGGACGGACGGACGGACGGACAAAGTGGCCACAATAGCGCATTTTTTTTTTATTTTTGTGGAAATGCGCTAAAAATGAACGCAATTAGTATTTGGCATTATATAAGAAGAGCTGGATGTATTTTTTAGGGCCCTTAATAAAGAAATTTCGGAATTCTGAATGTTTTACAAGAAAACAAAAATGAGGGTTTAAAATTATCTGTTAATGCACACAAATTATAGGGATTAAATTTAATAAAAACGTGTCGGTAGGTTGTTGTTTGTGGATTAAGAGATTATATCGATGTGTCCCCTAAAAAATTTAATGTGTGCTGGTCCGTTTCAGACTTTGAACCGCTTCTGATATGTTTGTTCCTTAATGTGGTAAAATGGAAACAATGGGGGTTTACAGTGTAGTTGAATTCCGCAGTTCTAATGTAATAAGCGTGTACCTGAAACCATAAAACATTTTTTTGGACAGTAAAAGTTTATTTAAAAATAGAGGCTGATTAGCAAAAAAATAATGAACATGTGCGGTTTTAAAGGTTTATTCAAAACGATATGATTGTGGCGGGCTCTGTGACGTAATAAGCCCGACCAATCAGCTCCTAGAACCATTCAGATGACATAACGACTTGGCAATATTGCAGGAGAATGGCATTTATAACTTGCGTCATCTGTCACCGGCACTTGTCACTTTCGTGCTAGATGCACAACCGTCTATAATTACAAGCCGTGGTGAGAATTATGGCAACACTGCATGGTAGGCCGATTTCCTAATTCAATTTGGCAGATTTCAGGTGTATTTTATACGTGTTTTGGGTGTAATATTCCTATGTACCTGTTTTAACAGAGTGAAATTGCGACAATTTGTGTTACTCTGTATGGAATGAACAGAAATTATTATTCAGGTAAGTTGCTAAACGAAATACATCGATTTGTTGTCATAACCTCTAAAGCAGGCTACTCCTTGCTGGACCCTTTTCAAGCACTTGTATTTGTTCAAAGTACCTGTACAAGCTCAAATATGACCTACACACTATGTGGTGCGTAAGTACGGTAAGTGTTTATCGTGAAAAAATACAATTAGTTTGTATTTCAGGTATTTTAGCACGGACATGTCAAATCGATTTTCTGAAGGAACCTTTGAACTTATCCCCAAAAGTTCATGGTACGGGAATTTGAAGTCCACGGGGCTCCCCTCTTTAAAAGCTTCGTACCTAGATCCACTGGAGTAGCGACTGGCTTAAAATCTGCCATTCCGAATCACACCTGGTCGTGATAAAAACTCGCTGATGCGCAGCGATTTACTGTCCTTTTACTGAAATTAAGTGCTCAAGCGTGTGCTTCACCTCGACCTCTTTCGACAGAAGTTCACCAATTTCGGAGATCTCGATGGAAAACACATTATGATGCAGTTACCAATTTACAGCGTTCCGAATTTTAAAGTCAAATAGAAATGTTATTATCCATTTTTGTAAATAAATAAAATATATGTACAATTATAAGCTGCCTAAGTATCTTTCTTCTGTATTAAAACCACCAAGGCGAAACACAGGAAAGAGGAAAAATGCAATTTTTGAAGAGTAACAAGACTCCATTAAAACCTATATCGGCCCACCGATTGACTTTCGGACAACGTTGCCAAACTTCTCAGCATGGCTTGTAATTATAGACGGCTGTGCTAGATGCGGTTAAACATCCCTCTCAAAACGTCAAATGTGACAAACGTCAGACTCTCGCGTAAGGTTGCCAGCTCACTTCTACGTGATTGGTTGTAGGTTTGTGACGTATTTAGTCTGAAGCGTTTCAAATTCGGACTAAAAACACAGCTTTTCAATAATTTATTTGGGGTTTATTTTACTCGCAAATAAAAATTGAGGACACACGGGTCTTTTTATTTTTAATGTACTTTGTGGATCAGAAATAAAAAATGAAGGCGGGATGACCCCATTGTGTTCCCCTTTGAAATTACAAAGTTGCCCCTTCCTTTAAAGTGGGGCTTGGGGAGATCTAATTTTCAACAACAAAAATTGTTAAGCCCTTGAATTATAAAACGGGTGGACGGGTGCTCTGAACCACCCTGAATAAAACATTAAAAAAATTAAATTACCCGAATCATTACGATATACGATTTCGATATTGTGTATGGGGTAGCGATTTGAAAGCCTTATACGAAAACTCCAGGCAAGCTCCCGCATATCCTCCTACGTAAATGCGTGCGAACTCGGATTAGACGCCCTTAGCCTTAGTCCTTTAAAAGAAATTTTCAAACTGCCCGTAATATCATAAAAAAAGTTTGCGGGATTCGATGAACTCGAGAAGGCAGACGTCGACGACTGCTCCTTGCCGCCTCTTATTACCCGAAACTTTTCCGAAATACCAAGATGAAACAAACTTCCTAGTACTTATTGGCTGTTTCGCTTTCTTTTCAGAGTCTGTTCGAATTCATAACTTAATATCGACGTTGGAGCTTCCCTTGCACTCGCAGACTGTGGAATGGAAGATGAAATACCTTTACGAGGGCTGTCTGGATATGGACAACATCAACGTTGAGAAGGCTCTACCTCTCAAGCGCATCATATCTGAGTTAGGTAAGTGGATTTTTATGGCTTTTTGTCAAGTGCCCTATTTATGGGGTACGCTACGCACTAATGCGTTCGTTTATAACTTTTAAATAGGGACCTTTTATTTTTTTCCTCATTCCTTTACGAGTTTAATGGAGTTTAATCTATAATCTTTTTGATTTTGTTACAATTTGTTGTGGAAATTGGTTACGCAACCGCAACATCCGCAGGAGAAGCGCAAAGGGATAATTAACCCTAAAAGCACGTCGATTTCAATTTTTTTTATTAAGTGATTGGTTCTAAACACTTTCAGGCGCACGACTACCTATTGTAACTGTATATTGATGTTACGAGCAAATCGGTATGTATACACATGAAGCTACGTGTGAGGCGAGTATGTGGAATAATTCACTCGGTTCGTTTACCAATAATGAATTATGTATGCAGTAACACTACACGATGTTTAAACAACAAAATGTGTAATACCTTGCCATTTTTCTTTTCGCAATTCGTATGTAATTGTCATTTTCTGTCTAATTTACCGTTTTCGGTTCGCTTACAATTTGTTGTGCCATAAATCTTCGGAAGTGGTGGAAAAATTGAAACTATAAATTTTGCCCTTTAATGAATTTGCGGCGAACAGTAAATGAGTGCCCGGGGTGTTTGTTGTTTAGGTAGCTGCGGCTGAAATTAGTCTCATAACTCATTTTCACTGTAGAACTTAATCAAGGCTTTATAGTGAATGTTAGTTTGGGAATAATGCTCTTTTTTACTATACTTAGTTACCGGAAATGGTATACTTTACAAATGATACATCGATTGAGATTGCACAACTTTCTTTTAAATTTTACTTGTGTGCTTGAAATCGAACTTTTCATTCCATGGATCTTAAGAAAAAGGAATTCAGTTGTTTGTGGCCCCGAAATTTTGGATCTTTTGCACTTACATAATTAGTTCAGTAATTTGACATTAGCGTACATTAGTAAATGCACATTTTTCCATAGCAAATTTCAAATACATCAAACGTACAGAGCTCCTCGCGTTACGGGTTGTTTTTTACCCTCGCAAATTTCATGCTTGTTTGCGTTGTCCCAGAGATAGTTTAAAACTTCCTGTCGCCTTTGGGACGTATTTCGTGATAACGCAAAGTACTTTTGCATGTAATGGTAACACGTTTAACAGGATATACGCCCGCATGTTCATTTGTCTAGTCATTAAGTAAGAAGTGAAATGGAGCAATACATTCGAATAATCGTTCGTCGCTTAGGGGTAACGTGTAACAATTTCTGGCAAGCATATTTGACACACTTCTGTTATGTGTGTTGCCTATTTCGTATTTCGTTTTAGACGCCATTGATTTTATTATTTTTAGTTTCCTCTCATGCGATGTGTCTAATTAATAATTAATGAATACCGGTTGAAGTGCACAATTTAATTTATTGACCAAAGCTAAAGGCATATTAATTAATGATCCACTTTCTTCTTTATATTTTGGATTATAAATTTGAATTGTTTTTAACACGCGATGAATTTAGTTTTTTTTAACGAAACACGCTTCTTGGTGTATTTTAGGTTGGTCAATTTTCCAAGAATGCAGAATATGGCAGATTTACCCAGTCTAGACTGTTTCTGATATTTTAAATTTATGTGTAGATGCCCTCTTGCTTGCAAATCCATTACCATGCTATGGACATCCTTCGAAATGCAGTCCTACAACGCATTTAGTTACGTGTGAATTAATTTATACATACCACTAGCATTGTAGGCATTATGGTGTTTGGTCTTTTTTTATGTGTATTTATGTGTACAAATGTGTCATCTACATCTATAAACATAAACGTAATTTTGCAACGGGAAAAGAAGTTCACACCCACCATAGTCTCGTTTTAAAGGGAAGCTAAGATTGGATATGCATTCTACAAAACATCCCCAGCGTACCAGTCGCTAGTATTCTACAATATCCTACCTGATTATATTAAAAGTACTCCAAGTCTCTCCCAATTTAAGAACAATATTAAGACCTTTCTCCTATCGACAATTATGTACAGTGTACAAGAACTTATTAACGCCGTGAGCTCATGTTGTTTGTGACTGTGACTATGCGTCTGCTGTCTGTGATATACTATACATATTCTATTTTATTTGTGACGTGTAAATAATTGTTCTTACAATGTAATATTTACGAAGACCGAATTAATTTATCACTCACTTGTACTCAAATTTATAACATGTCAATTCATAACGTGAGCGCGAAATCACTACTTATCACTTTTGCGTCGATGTTGGAACCAAAATTAAAAATTTGATTGGCTTATATAGCAAACAAATAGTTCTAAAACATTCTTGAATAAACACATCGTATTTTCTGGAAAGAATGCGTCACATTCGCCTCATTCCTTATCGCCGGTGACTAATCCTTTATCGACTTGACGGCGCTCTGCAATATTCACCACATTTACAGTTAAGTGCAAATTTGAATGCAGGATAAAGATACTTTGCAATGTTGCAATACAAATAAGCCACTTTGAAAAGAGGAATGTGGAGAATGCATATTCAAATGTATATTTGGATGTAATTATTCTGTTTGGCATTAAATTATTCACTGTCGCCCATCCGTGAAAAAAAATGACTCTGAGTCAAGTAAGAGACTAAAACGTGTTGCGTTAGTCGACGAATTACTGGAGAACTGGGCTTGAGTAAACGTTCATTATCTAAAGTCGGTTCTCAGGCTGTAAACCAAGGCCTAAATTTTACATCGGTGTTGCTCCATGACCTGAAAACCAAAAAAATCAATCAGAAATCTATGGTACACGCTGACACTAGGTCATTTCGATCTTGGAATTTGGCTAATCAGCCCTGTGATGTATCACAAACGTTAAACTGCACTCTCTCACATTAGAAGAAATTGTCCCGACTGTATAGCGACCAATCACCTCCGAAAACTAAAACGGATCGATGGGATTGGGCGAGCATAGACCTACCAAAGTTATGCTCTGGAGACTGTCATCCAAGTCCCGTCACTTAACAATCAACCAAACATCTGGTTTCGGAGAAAGAGGCAGTTGATCCCGAAACCAGGACAATTCGCTTTCTCAGAATTTATGGCACATTACTAAGAGCACGCTTGGGAGTTGTTCGTGAGAAATCTAAAGATTTGTTTGACGCACCCCTTTGGTGGCCAAGGATATCAAGATGTCTCAGGGTAGTATTTCCGTAGGGTTCCAGTTCCGGTTTGATTTCACACAAAACTCCATCGGCATATAATTTTTTACTAATCAGGAATTTCCAGAACTGTTCTAGTCCTCATTACCCAACAATAATTTTTTTTCGCTCCTACAATATAATAAAGCCTCTTGGCAAATTACAATATGCAGACCTTTCTAAGATACAATGAGATTTTAATAAGCATAAGAGTAGACGAGACGAGACTTGATCTAAATATACGTACTTCATTTTATACCATGGATTAGTTACACACTTGTGACAACAGTCACGAGATTACCGTACAGGTGTACATGTTTTACAGCCAACTAAGTGGAAAACGATTATCTGGGGGGACATCCTGTATAGATTTAAAAGTTACCCAACAATAAATATATGTACATAATTACATGTTGATGGAAATAAGCAGGATCGTAAAGCGATAGCTTTTACGTAAAGATCTGATAAATTGACACAGTCAGCTGGGCAACAAAGCACTCATAATAAGGTTTTTTTTAACCTTTCGCCCTTAGTAACGTATAAGGTGGTGGAATTTTCAAGTTTTGTCTAAAGCGTTTTCAAGAATATTTCAGTCAATTTTGGAGTTTCGGTTAGAATTTTGGATCATTAGGCACAAATTAAGAAACTATTTAACCTAAAAATTTGTTAAACAATTTATATTTGGGTCCGTTAACTTGCCCCCCCCCCCCCCTGAGAGATTTGATAGTCGTATTATTTTGAAATGAATGCGCTCGTTATGCGCTCATATGCGCCACCGATAATAACTCTTGCGCCATTATCGTTTTTTAGAAATCCGAAAAAACATTTGGGGGGGCCAAGTGAACGTAGCCCCCCCCCCAGTACGTATTTTGTCCCTTGTAACTAGGTCACCTGATACATTTGGTTATGCGCTCAATTGCGCCACTTGAATTAAAGCTAGCGCCATTACGGTTAAGCCGTGACAAATTTTCAAAAAGTGGGGGGGCCAACTTAACGTTTTTAAAAGTTACTTTTTTTTAACATCTTTTCATACGAAATTGTACTCTCAGGTATGCGCTGAAATGCGCCGTAAAAAGATATCTTTGCGCCATTATTGTTTTTTGGATATCCTAAAATAAATTTGGGGGGTGGGGGGGCCAAGTGAACGGAATCCCCCATAACGCATTTTGCTACCGGTATTTGTGCCACTTGATACATCTGGTTATGAGCTCAATTGCGCCACTTGAATTAAAGCTAGCGCCATTACGGTTAAGCCATAAAATTTTTTTAAAAAGTGGAGTGTCTAACTTAGCGTTTTCAAAGGTTATTTCCGGAAGTGCGTCCATTTTGAAAATATTTTACATCGATTCGGCCTTCGGAGTAACTCCTAAATACAAATTTTTAAAAACCTACCTATTTTACTTTCTCAGAATCGTTTAACTAAAGCTCCCAAAAAACACCCTGTATAGTGTTTCTGAAACACTATAATGGCGCCAAGATTTTTGTTTACGGCGCATTTTAGCGCATGATGAAAGGTACGATGTAGTAGAAAAAACATGTTAAAAAACGTAACTTTTGAAAACGTTCACTTGCCCCCCCCCCAAATGTTTTTTCGGATTTCTAAAAAACGATAATGGCGCAAGAGTTATTATCGGTGGCGCATATGAGCACATAACGAGCGCATTCATTTCAAAATAATGCGACTATCAAATCTCTCAGTGGGGGGGCCAAGTTAACGGACCCTATTTGGGTATAATGGATATTATATTTTAATTCTTATTTCAGAACATTTAGTGAGGTCTTTTGGACTACTTCTTATCGGAATCATGACATGTAAGTCATGTATGAAAAATTTCACAGGGGATGGAACAGGGGAGGGCTGCGTGAAGATCACCCCCGTACTTTCATAGCAATTTGGCCTGAATTTTCGTGTTTCTGTTAGGTA